ATTTGCTGGTAATTTTAAATCTTTTTTGTTTTGAAATTTCTAAATGAAAATTTTATTTTTGTTAATTTAGGGCTATGGAAAGGTCTTGGTCCACGTATTTTTATGATAGGTACATTAACAGCTTTACAATGGTTTATTTATGATACAGTTAAAGTCATTCTTGCATTACCACGACCACCACCACCACAACCACCACCTTCATTACAGAAAAAATATGGTTTAATTGGTGATAAAGAACCTTTAATATGTGATTTAAGTGTAAAAACTTGACCAATAAAATTCTTTCGAATTTTTTTTTATATACATTTAATATTGTTTGCTTTTTTCTCTCCTTAATCTGGTATCATTTGGAATTATTTGGCGCTTAAGTTGTTATTTATGTGATATGTATATATAAATTTTGTTGACTTTCGGAAAAATCAGACAGAAAAAGAAATAATAAATAATATAGTCTTTTATTCACAAATATAATTATTTAAACTTTTATGTTATAACTAATGAATATCATGAAAAGTGTTCGGATTTTTAGCTCAGTAATGCATGGATTATTACATTGGTACAATATTTCTTTTTGAATCAACATTGCGGTTCCTTTTAGGAAAACTGATTATAGAATTTTTATGGCTAGATAAGAATTTTTATAATAAACTATTCTTGTTAAGATCCGACTTCATGCAAAATTTCAAGTCTAGATTCGAAAATCAGTGTTTCTGAGGATAACTAAAGTATGAACTTGAAAAATAGCATAAAAATCTAATATTCCTCAAAAGGAACGAATCAACTGGAGGACTTTCTTCTTTAGATGAAGGTAAGCGAAAATAACATTTGAAATAAGGCTTAATCGCTTTACGTAGAATAGATCTAAATCAGATAGGCAAGAAAACAAGTCATTTTAGTTTATAATAATTTCGAAGATGCAACACCTACGATTTTCTGAAAATGTAACTTTATTCATCAAAATATTTATGAATGTAGGTAATCGTCTTATTTAGTATTAAACTTTACAATCAATTGTATTTATTAAAGCAAATTCAAAAGAAAATCTTTTAATGGAGATTTATTTTTATAGTTTACAAATTCGTTCATTATAATTTTTAACGTTATTCCTTCATAATATTAATTTGATACATACAACTTCTCTCTTCTTTTATTTTAGTTAATTGTATCCTTAACATCGTCTGATAGAACTATTTTTGGTAGTTCAAGAATAGCATCGCTACGAAGATTGACTCCACTTTTGTACAAGTTGAAAGAAATTCCACCAACTTTCAGTTAAAATCGTATTTTCAAAATGTTCGTAAATCTTGTTTGAGCTACATAGGTGTGAATTGTAACTTTTTGATACAATCAAAATTCTAGCTGTTTTCGAATAGTCCGTTTTGTTTTCGTTGCGTATTTTGAACCACTTCTTAATATATTACGAGTTTATCTAATAGAATACTTATTATGTCACATAAATATATAGAACAACACACAGCATGCGAGAACTGTGCAAAGACCATTAGACAAATATGATTTTTCACGACTTAAATCGTAATTCTATGTCAGAAAAAAACAGATGTTTTTTTCTTTTTCAAAAACATATTTGAGTAGAGTAGGAAAAATTGGATCTGTCTATATCACTTTTAGAGAGTAATACTGTAAAATGATGAAATGATAGAAGTTCTAAAGAAGCCGCACACATTCATTCACTAAGATTTTCGCTAGTAATCAGGTTCTATGAAGTTCGTCACATACTGAAATGTATTAGTTTCTATATCATTAGATAGATAACGACTCGATATCACCTATGCGTTTCACTCAGAAGTGAGACGAAAATGTTTCTCAATAACCTGAAGAGAATACAGGTGTAAAAAAATCTCGATGTCAAGCAAAGATAAAGATCTAGGCCCATGCTGTTGTTCATAAGTTTTTGCTATCGTCATAAGAGTGTTTTCGAAAAATGTTTTTGGAAGAAAAATGAACTTATTGACCTTCATCACTTATCTTCTATGGTGAAATTGAAGCTGAACTTTTTCTAATTAGCATTTAAGTAAAAGTGAATCAAAATAAATGTTAATTTATAGCTTTTATTGGTTTCAATTTTATATCTTCACGAATATCCAAGAAAATATTGGAAACGTGTCTTCTGCTTAACATAGATATATAATAGAATATAATTTACCAATAACACGGTGTTTTATCAAACTTTCAGTTGTTCATACCGATTGTGTACCAAAACAAATTGCCACTCATTCATATACTGTCGTATATCGGCAATCTTCGTTCTGTAATTCACTTACTTCATTGTATCTCCATCGTATCGAAAGACTTCAAAATATCAGGATCTGCTATTTCTCATTTAGTTAATAGAAAAAAAATATGTATTGAATCAATTAATTATGCATCAGGTTGTTCTTGATGTCACTCAACTATTTATTATCAATTCAGATTTGATAAATCTATTGTTTCTATCATAGAAAAATATTCTTCTCTGAAGAAAAATTAGAAATTAGTACCATTACGTAATAAATCCTGTACTGTTCATTTTCTCATTTCATTTGATATTTATCTCTATAGACTTTTGATAAAGAATGAACTTCTCACAAATTTACCGATAAATTTGTTAGTTTTCATAACCCAGACCAGACTCATGGTTTGTATCAAAAAGTACATTATTTGATTGTATTGAAATATTTTGTTAAAAATGATAACAAATTTTTAAACATAAATTGATCATCCATATTTAATGAGTAACTCTTGGTCATCAACAATTGTTTGTTTGAAGAGCTTAATAGTTCAATGGACAATCTGATATATATGTGAGCATTCATCTAGGATAATTAGAATCGACAAAGTTATAAAACATGGCACATATCAAAATAAAAACCATCGTTTGATACTTCGCTTTCAGAATTGTTCTATGTCTCGAGTGGCGTAATGATCTGAAAACTTGATAATGAAGACAGGTTTTTTTTTGACTTTATTGTCATGTTATATAGGCGCCTAGGTTACAACGATAGTTCTGAAAGCGAAGTGTAAAATGATGGTTTTAATTTAATGTAAGCTATATATTATAGTTTTGTCAATTCTAATCGATCTAGATGCTCATATAAACCTCATATTGTCTATGGAAATATTAAACGATTTCAGACCGTTAACTATCAATAATTAAGAGTTACTCATTCAATATAAATGATGACTTTATTTTAATAATTTGTAATCATTTAAAAACAAATATTTTAATTCACTATGTGTCAATCTAAAACTCATAATCTTTTGTAATAATTCTTTATTTTAAAATCTTTTATACAGATTTGTAGAGAATTGAAATGCTACAGCTGTTGATATAAACCATAAGACAGAGTAATCAAAGCTAGCAAAGTAGTCGACAAAAAAAGCTGTGAAAATTTCATTATTTATGGGCCGTCAGTTGCATCAGACTCAATTTTCTCTTAATAATGTTTTTTTCTTCAAACTTTTACTAGTACAATAATATATAACTTTATGGACAATAAAATTATACTAAGTAAATATTAAATACGAATCGTGATTGATTATAAAAACTTGTTATTGTTCTTAATATGTCAACTAAAGAAAGATGGTAATCATGTAGTAGAAATATAATCGATTCATTTGATTCGAGGGGTTTTTGTAAATATATATATATATATCTTTACAAAATTGAAAAACAAATCTATATTGACTTCGTTTCTTTCATTGCTGTTGATAGAATTAATTAATATTAAAAATAATTGTAAAGCAAAATAAAATAGTTAAAAAATTTGTGTAAGTAGAAAATATAAAGATATTTATTTTAAAAATACACTATAATTCGAGATAAATTTCAAAATGCATTTCAGCAACGTCTAATAACAATTATTTTCAATCATTAAAATATTTGTGTTTGAAATCCTTTAAGATTCAAAACTAATTTCAAAAATAATTATTGGTAGTCCTTTCGGACTCTTAAATGGAACGATTTTGACACATACACTCTTGATGTATTCATACGTTTCGTATATTTATTATATTTTCTAATGATTGAGATTATATTCATTTTTTTCACGAAAATTTTGGTGTAAAATGACCGACATAATTAGTTATATGGATTTATTTTTCTACTTATCACTTCATTTTTACATATGTACCTGATTAAGTTGACAAACTGTCAGATCAAAGGAAACACTCCTATTATAAGTAAACTAATCATGTTTATGATCGGAACTAAAACATTCTATCTATTTCTTTTGTTTTATAAACTTTATTGAATATACATTCTATTGATCTAATAAAGATTTTTTTTCTGTAAAATTATGTGATTTTTATATGTTAAGTATCATCATGCTGTCCTTGAAACAATTATTAATCATTATATAAGTTTTGTTCGAAATACAATACATAAATATTTATTGTGAAATGTTCTCATATAGTATGTAGAGTTTTGTATACTAACATAAATAGGTACCTAAGTTCTTAAACATCTTTTAGTATACTTGATGAAAAACGATTAAAAATAAATAAAACTTAATCGTGTACAAAAAACATTCATAGTTTACATACTTCGATTGTTACTATGATGAGAATGTAAATATTTGAAAAGATAGAGTACATCCGTAAAAATGACGGCTTTTCTTTTTTACATCCAATAAACATCTATGACCTTATTCACGATAATAAATTATTTGATTTGCTCTCGTGCATAAGTGAATATAGATTGTCTTTAGATCATATTCGGTTGAAATCTATGAATTACTCGTTGGCTTTATTTTTTGCCTTATATAATCTCTTTTTTATATCTTGATTAACATCATGATCTAAAACAGTTCTACTCCAAATTTTAAGGATTTCAAACATGAGATACGATATTTGGATTTTTATTGCATATCATATTTCTTTTTTTTCATTTTTATTATTATTTATTTTACACAATACAAGCACACATAAAATAAACTTTAACATTTTTCAAAAGAAAACTGTCCGTCAGACATATTTGTTTTGGTTTTTTTATTAAATTTTGATTACATTAAATCGATTTTCTCTACTTTAATATCAACCATGTCACCATAACCTTTAGTAAGCACTGGTACATTGGAACTGGTAATAAAACGTGTTTTACCATCAGCTACAATTCGTACACGTATTGAATAATTCGATGTTTTTTCTACATCTTTTTCATCATATTCAAGTGTAAATGCTATGGGAAATGTTCTAATTTGGTTTTCAAGAATTAATTTTGCAATAGTATGAAACTTACGAACATAAGAACCATCTTGTGAAGCAATATCTATATGTAGAAATTTAATAATAATAATAACAAGATAGAGTTTAAAAATTCGTTTTCTTTTTTCTTTTTCTATTTCACTTACCAGTTAATGTCATATCATCGAGATAAATTAAAACCTTGTGATTATCATTGAGAACTTCATTACGTTTTTCATAGTCAATCGTACCTTCTATACGTCTGACCATTTTTATTAATTTATATTATATGAATAGGTTCTTTGACGATTCTTAAATAAATGTATATTGATAAAAAAATTTCTTATGTCTAAGGTCTTATTATACAAACCCTGATTAGTGCTTGCGTGTGCTAATGTAAGTGCTGTAAGAGCAATTATAATTGATTGTGCGACTATGAAGAAGAAACACAATCTATATGTGAGATAATGTGTTTGCCGGCTCAAATCGACAAGGTGTATGTGTGTGTTTGTTGGCTATAGACCGTGTTTTAAAAAGGAGACGGAAACTTGCGCTGAGACAAAGCGATTGTTTCTCCTTTCTTTCTCTATTTCGATATCCGCTGATCGTTGGAAAAACGTTGACTCTCGTTTTTTTTTGCTAGCCTTTTCTTTCTCTCTTTTTCTAAAAGGAACAAAAATGCTCGCAGCGAGAACGTTCAACATTGCGTGCAACTAACCTCTCGTTCTGTACTTCGTTCTTAGAAAAGCAAAGAAAGAAGTCTATATTATTAATGAAAGTTAAAAAACAAGTAAAAAAAAAATAGGAAACACAATATTAAAAGAAAAAGGAAAAGTTGCTTCTTTTTGTTTTACTTTTCCGATCGATAATGGATTTGTCATCAGTGTCTGTCGATCTATCACTTGGAGAAAAAAAAATTCAATGAACATAAAGTATGGCATACAATAGAAATGAACTCTTGACAAATATACCAGAAAAAAATTAGTAATATGAACTCTGAAAAAATAAAAATTTTTTTAGAAATGACGCACTTATTCAATTGACTGTTCTGCCTATTTTTTATACATGTGCGTGTTATATAATAGTTAATTCTAAATTAATTAGATTCATTTGTTTTTTTTGTTTTTACCTAACCATATTTTTTTTTATATTGTCTAATAAAATTCGATGAGATGTATTATCAATTAAGAGTTAGAATTGAATTTATAACGATGGAATATTTATGTTACTTCAAATAGAACAGAAAACAAAATTATGGATAAAATATTAGAGTAGCTGTCTTGAATAATTTTAAAGAGTAATAATTATTATTTTTATCGAACATTTTTACTATTTTAAGATGTATATATTAATGCAACAAAATGATAGTAATTTATCTTAATAAGCAAATTATTACTTTGGACTATAATTTTAAATTTTTTTTTTCTTTTTGTTTTTGAATCAATAATTAAATTTTGCAGCAAGAGAAACAGAAATTTTTAGTACAATTCTCTAAACTTTATTATGAAGCATTTTATGGAATGGGTAATATTTTTTTTTATTATTCATTTAAATATCCATCACATACTATGAAAGAATATCGCATGCGAAATTCAAGATTCTCGAGTGATAGTGATTAACATATTCTAAAATTAATAACAACATATGACTCATCGTCTTTGAAGAAAAGTTTATTCGGAATATTTATTGGCAATTCGTCATCAAATTTAGAATAAAAAATAATTCTATCTGCCAGGTTAATATTCGTTTACAAGAAACAAACAAAAACGAATTTCACTTTTCTGTGTTCTTCTTTTTTTTGTTGTTGTAATCTATTTTATCGCAATAATTGATAGTAAAAACAATCCACACATCTTTTCCTATAGATAATTACTACAATTTAATACATGAAATATTGATTATTATTTCTGTAAATTTCACTTGATATGTTGACTTTGAAAAAAAATCTCGTGTGAAATTTATCACACGAATGCTCGAATGTTAAATATGGAAATATGAATATTTAAAGCTAATGGTTGAGTTGTATTACTATGCTTACAACGCGTTTGTTGTTTTGAACTAGAATAGTCTAACTGTTTTAATATATCGCTTTAATGAAAAAAGAAAATTGCAAAAGACGATCATTGTTAAGGTAGAAACTATCTGAACAATCTTCTGAAATATCTTTGAATAAAGTTTCGTCGAATAGAATTTTGCTGATAATCATATACACCATGACAACAAACTTCTTCTGTTGTCGTTATATAATAACGAAGAGATGTTCGCAGATTTTATCAAGTATCAAAAACATTCTTATTCGATAAGATGATTGAAAACAAATAAACTTCTGTCTTGCAATCAATGCCAGAAAAAAATCAGCAAACTTATGAATCATATAGAAGATTTATTGAGCAAGAGATATGCGATTCAAGTAATCGAAACGAAATATACAGTTCAATACTTTGAAAATCCGTTTAAGATTTATTTGATACAAAATTTTTTGCGCTGCAAAGCTGCTGACTTCATTTTTTTTCAATATTTTTCTTTTGTTAGCATAAAATCTAAAAGATTGTCATCTACTCTATTTTCCAACTGCGAAGGTTAAAGAAAGGAAAATAGAATTCAATGTTATTAATTACAGTTCTGCTGAAATTTTAGCTACACCAGATTGTTTTCCAGAAAATGCTGATAGAGCAACAAATAGTTCAAAAAAAAAGGAGACAATACATGTTTTAAAACATTAAATAAGTACTTGGTGGGTTTTTTTCAGAAACTTAGGAAAAAATTCTAAATTTTCCGAATTTTGATTGACAAAACTATGTTTCATAACTTTTGGATCTGGCAATCCTAATATGAATTCATGATTTCTGTTCATTTAACGATATAACAACTTTCGATTTCGTAGTTAATATAGTCTCAAAGTTCTTTTGAACCAGACGAATGATGAACTCATCCTTTTCAAGTACCACATATAATAACAATTGATCAGAAACTATCATGAAAAATTGTTGTACATTGTACGATCTATTAAGAGCCTTTTAAAGTGATTTCACCACAAATACATAAGCAACTGCAAATACATTTTTCTTGACATCTGTATTCTATTTCTTTCAGTGATAGAGAATCAGAACGAATTGAAAAAGAAAGAAAAAGTGAAGATATATAATTCTCGTACACCATAGCACCATACACTTCATGAGTTTCTAATATAATATTTAATGATTTTCAATCAGTACAAAACCTAATTTATTTCCGAACAACTGATTTGTGGTGTATATAAATAAATACGCGTTAAACATATCGTATTCTTTTGTACAATATGGGAAGATATTTTTCCGCTAAATTTGACATTTAGACTACTTCGAACGTTTTGCAAAATGATAAACAATGAGTTCAATTTGAGTCTCAGAGTGAATATACAAGAGGAACGAATTTTGAAACTATAGACAAGTTAAAACAACTTAATGAGGATAATTTTAATAAGTTTTTCCTTAAGAATAGTGTGAGATACTGGATAAAAAAAATACTCTTTGAACTCTATGTTAGAAGTGACTGATTTTTCATTTAAAACAGAATCAAATCTTAAAAATAATAATAAAATTTTTACCTATAATTGGGTTCACATGGTATTGAACTCTCAATTGAACAAGAAAAATCTACTGAAATAAGAATTCGCCATGTATTTTCAAACAAGAATGTGAGCTGATTTTTTTCCTATAAGTATTTACAATATCATTCACAGCAATATAAAGAGAAAGAGAGAAAATTTCCAGACATCATAAACAGAGAACGAAATGCGACACAGCGTATGACATCATGTTGCAATGAATCATTTTTGTTCAATTGTTTGTTGTCTTGTACATTACATGCGATAATAAATGCAAAAGAGGAGTGAAGCACTCATGTCAAAAAAAAAGAAAAAAACTATTTGAACGGTAATAACATTTGAAAAAAACAGCCCAACCGATCATTCAATAGGCATTTCGACACGTCAATCGCAGATTGTCGTAAGCATCAAAATTTAAAACGTGCTTCTAGAATTTTCACTTTTCGATAGGTCTGTAAAACACTGAGTTCTCGAGCAGTCGAACCATTTTTCAACAAGGGGACCAAAACTTGATCAAAATAAAAATGACTCATTCTTGAGTCGCCGAAACTACTCGGATAAATGCGAAGGAGAAGATTCGAGGATGAGTACTGATGATTAACATTCGTCGAGTATCTAAACTAAATACGAACTATTGTTTTTCTCTGAGACTTTTCTTTTCAATTCTTAGAAGGTTAGTACTCTCAAGATTGTTATTTTAACATTTCCTTATAGTTTTCGAAGATGAAAAAGCTTTTTTGAACGTCAGACGCCATATAAGAAGCTTAATTGGCAATTATGGCATTCGATAAATAATGCATTTGTTTGATACTGTATAAAATCAGCACTAAAAAAAAAACTTTTCAAGTATTCAAAACGCAAAATTCGTTATAGCTGTGTTTGTCGTCAAAAGTGCTTATCGATTTCGGCCTTACTTTTTATTTTTCACTGGTTGATGCTAAATATTTTTTAGAAAATTATGAAATGGAGGAAAATATATGTCGAGCACAAACCATCCTGCTAAGGTAGCTAAATGAAAGAGGGATTTGTAAATCACTTTTTAAAGAAGCTTCATCAAAACAAAATTAACATCGCCATTTGAAACTGTTATTCTGATTGACTTGCTTCTATTGGAGCACTCAATATTATGCTTTCTATATATTTCTTTTCAAGAGTACTCAAAACTTCGATGATTATTGAGGAAACTAAAAGTGTTTGAGAAATCGAAGATGAATGCCCGATAGGATATAGTTTTCAAGTGGTCAGAATCCGATGGCTGCTGCAAGGTTCGAAATCGGAACAGAACGAGCAAAAAAATACACATTTCAAATTTTCGAGCGCTCGTCAACATACAAGGATAAGACCAAGATCACCTCCAGATGCTTGAATGCTTCAGAACTTTTTGCTCATTTGGTTCGACAGCAACATCGGTCTAGAAAACAACAAGAATGGCAAGAATACAGTTTCAGATTTAACAGAAATAGTCAACAAGGTCAATATATTTACGGATAACTACACTGCAGCACAATTTATATTTTTTTTGTGAAGATCAAGCTCTGCATGGACTTTGGGCTACACAATGACCAAAAATTAAAGGAATCTTTACAAATATTGCTCTGATTTGGAAAGATTTTCAACAATCGACATAAGAATGTAATTAAGATACCATTTCAATCAATTTTCTCACCACTGGTTGTGAAAATAGCAAGCTGACCCTCAACTAATTAAATTCTTCATTTATGTACACCCAAATAATGAGAGAAATATTATTATCGATTTCCTTCGAACAACATCACATCGATGAATATCTTACAGACTGTCGAGATTTTTTCATCGGCAATTCAAATGAACTTCATCACGTCACCAAACTCAAACAAGAATATCACAAGCATCTTTCGAGTTGATGGTGTACCAACAAAAGTATTCTTTATTCGATGCTCAATAGATCACTAAGAATGATGAAAGTCGATCTCATCATAACCATGGGATTTTATATTCACGATCTCCATAATTACACCGCTGAGCTTCACGCTCAACAGTTTGTTGGACAATCAACTTCACATTCATTTACTGTTTTTCGTGGTGAAGCACTACCAAAGATTGACTGTGATTCAAGACACAAAATTTGATCCGTCCATCCTGTCAACACCATTTGCTAATGTTAGGGATGTCAGATATTTTGAAGGAGAAAAAGAAATTTTCTTCTGCAGGAATTCCGTCTTTCGTATTGGACCAATGAAACAAATCGAAGGAAATCAACGTCTTTGGCAAATCGATTTAACGTTAACTAGTGACAATGACCCGGATTTGCATGCACTTACTAAACGGATACGAGAAAAGACAAAAGGATCGATAGGATGACTTCGACTAAAAGAATTGATGGTAAAATTAGCCAAATATAAGGAAGCCGAAGATTTATACGGAATCTTACTTGCTCAAAGAATGAATGATGATGATAGAGGAAATATATTTTATCAGCTCAGAGTGATCAAGCTTGAATAAGGAAATTATGCAAACACACTCACATGTTTTGAAAAATCGCTATCAATTCGCCGAAAAGGTCTTTCATCACAACACCCTAATGTGACTGATTGTTACAACGACATTGGTTTAGTGTATAAAAGGATGACTGACGGTTCGAATGCGCTTGTATATCATCAAAAAGACCTGGAAATCCTTCAACAGATTCTTCCTTAAAATCATCTTTGACTTGGCTACTTCTTATTTCTGCCATGGTTCAGTGCATTTCAAAATGGGCAAATTTTCGAAGACCCTTTTCCAAGGGGAAAAAACACGTACTTCCGTACTCCTGTACTCCCATTGTGCTCCCGGAGTCCATTCAATATCGATACCATAGGAATACATGGATAGATGGCACTAGTCGTACTGATCTTTTCCTCAAAATTACCTCAAAATCTAACTAAATCATAGAGAACTCACTAAAAGAGAGCATTTAAAAAATTAAAAAAATCTTACGTTCAATAATGAATACTTTTAATACAAGTAGAAAATCTAAAAAAATAATATCACCAATCAGAATATGAGTATGTATTGCTCATTATATCATGAATATGATTCAGAAATATTAAAAAGAAAAAAAACGACAACAAGTACAGAACTCAATTAATTTTTTCCGTTTATTGTACTTGAAGATGTTTTGTCGTCTATATCTCATATGTTATATTATTTTGATAACGATCAATGTCATTTTGACAGATATTTATTTACATAATCCAAGGTATTATAACTATTATAAATCTTATTCTAATATGTATGTTCATCAATTTTCAGAGGTAGTAATAATCGACATAATGAAAAAACTCGAGAACGTCAAAATGAAAATTTGTAAGCAAATATATAGGATTTATCGTTTTTGTTTTTTAATATTATCAAACAAATATATATATATATTTATGTACTTGTTTTCAGAAGTTTTGACTCACAAAACAATCAACGAGGTGGATATAATGTTGGTGATGGTGGGACTATGTATTATTATGCTAATTCAATATTGCCAATTCAATGGTAATAATAATATTTTTGATTTTCTAATTGCAAATTTTCATATAGGACAAATCAACATTCATGTAACGATGTCAATGCTGATTGTTCAATTTTATTTCAATATACATGTGGTGATACACTTCGAGATGGAAAATCAACAACGTATGTAATTTTTTCTTTGTTTCATATGAATATTTTAATTGTATTGATTTTCAAAAATAGAACAATACCTCTATCAGTTGAGGGAGAAAATGATTCAACATATCGATTAACAGAAGACTTAACATCATATTTAAACTGTCGTGTACGAAGTCGAAATAAAAATTTATTTACTGCTAATCAAGTAATAAAAAAAATTAACAATTATTTCTTTCGCTAATAATTGTTTTTCTAATTCATAGGGTCTTCGGGGTGATTCATCAATTTATACACGACAGAATCCTGCTGGTACAAGATATGGTTATGAATGTCCAGAAGAACGTGATTATTATCCATATTGGCAACCAACTAATTGGATCGTAAGAAAATTATTTTCTAAAATAAAAAGTTTTTTTTTTCTCGCTCTGATTACTGTTTAATTCAATATAGGATATTGCTATCTTAACAAATCGACAAGATTTATGTACTTACTATCGTCAAAATAGTCAAAATGTTCAATCACGTTTTGCATGTACATTTGCCACAAAAGCTGATTTAATTAAAGCAAATGACCTTAAAATTATTTTACCTAATAATAAAGAAGCATGCGAAGTACGTGTATCATAATTCTTTTTTTTTGTTTATCTTATTTTAATTTTGATGATTATTTAGGCATTTAATAATCCAGGTTTAAATGGTATAAAACCTCGTTGGATTGAATTTCCAAGTCATAATCAACCACCACCAGAATGTTATTCACCACCATATACAAGAGAAAATCATCTTGGTGATGTTTATGGTTCAGATATGCCTGTATTTAATTGGACATTACCAAATATAAGTGCGAACAAATGTATTTTACGTGTTCGGTAAGTTTTCATGTTTTTCTGCTCAACTCACATTTTAATTTTGCCTTGCTTGGTTTAGATATAATATATCAACTGGTGATTATGATGGTTGGAATATAAATTCATCAAGTAATAATGGTAATCTTTATATAATGAAAGAGTAAGATTTAGAAAGAAAAACTGAATAGAACTAGATAAATTATTTTTTTTTTTATTTGTAAGTTTTTTTCCTGATGAATTAACTGCTGAAAGACGAGGTTATCGTTATCAAACAAATCCTGAAATTAAATTATTTGATGATATAGATTTAACACTTCAACTTGCTGTAAATACAGCACAATATGGACGAGTATTTCAAGACAGGTTTTAAAGGTTTCATTTATAGAATATAAAATTTATTAAATAATAATGTAGATCGTTCACATTCGAAATTCGACAACGTCCAACTGAATTTCAAGATAAACCTATTTATAATCTAAATGTAAGAGGTAGACGTGGAAATATTGTTCAAGGTAAATAAAACGTCGAATATAATCATATGTTATGGAATTTTCTTCTTTTAGTATATCCAGCTGTTGAATATGATTTCGTACCAAATCGATTAGAAATTCCATCGAATTCATATGTTCATATTCAGTATGTAATTTTTATATTATATACAATGGTTTTAAAAATTGATCATACAGATTTGATTTCAATTTTTTTCCATAATCGTAGGTCGTATAAAGAATACAAAAAGCGGTTTGCATAGAGAAAATTGTTTTCAACAAGTATTTGAAGAAAATAAAATTTTCTTTTGGTCATGCGGAGCGACAGAACAAGGCCGATATTAAAAAAATACGAATCAATGTTTTTTTTGTTATCTTTTCCTAAGAAAAAAACTGGATTAATTGAGTTGTGGAGCTTCTCTTCAAATTTATGTATTGCAGTGAGCAAATGTCTTGAAGAGCTCGGAAATGTGTTGTTTTGTAGAGAATTAGTTAGTTTATCGCTCCGTATAATCAAACGAAACTTTGATTGGTAGATTTTGAATGCTGAAAAACTAGGTTTAGAGTTGCTGGAGATCCTGAATTTTCAGAGTACTGTGAAGGTTTTATTTTTCTCAAATTCTTGTTGAAAACAATTTTCTCTTTGTAAGACATTATTGAGATTCTTTATGCAAATTACGATTACAGAAAAAAAAATCGAAGTTAAATCTATATTATCAATTTCTGGAGCCATCGTAATACATAAAGTTGTATTTTTATTTAGATGGATTGGTTCAAATACTACTCCAGATGGTGACGGACAAGGAAATCAACAAATTGATCGAAATAATTTATTACTTCTAACTAATAGAGTAAGTTTTAGAGTTCAACTTGTGAAATGAATCGTTTTAACATTCTTTTTTTCGTTAGATGATTAATTCGGATTGGAATCAATTTGAATATTTGAATTCTACTGGTTTATTAATTGCTAATATGCCTGCATTATTAAATCAAACAAATTTTCTTAATTTACCTTTGAATGATCGTCGACAATTAGCTGCTTCAGGACAAAGTAAAAAAACATCGATTTTTTTTATTTTTTATCACTATTATTCAACATATATTATTTAGATACTGATCCTTTATTGTACAACGCTTCGGCATATTTTGATCTTGGAGCACGTTTAATATCTGCTGAATCAGCTGGTGTTTATCATTATGTATCAACTCGTAATAATGATTTTTCAAATCGAGACCAAAAAGGTCGAATTATTGTACAACCATTTCAATATAAATATCAACTTATTGGACAAAATAGTCATACAATGAAATTAGAGTAAACAAAATATTTTAAGTCTTAATGTAACGGGTGCATCAGAATAAATATTTCTCTCATTAGTCTTTTTAGTATCTCACTCAATTCTTAACAAAAGATTTTCTACAACAAAATTTACTAGAAAAATTATAAATTAACATTTGACACATAAGAAAAAATAGACTTTCAAATCAACTTTTATATGAAACTTGAGAGCAATTTTTTACACTACAGTACATAATAAAGTATGATTAAGTCTTCTGCTTCTTCCTATACAACTAAAGCATCGTTTAAACTGAATTGAAGTTGTGAAAGTTCCACTTGTTAGAAATTCTATGGAAAAACTACTTCAATCTGATATTTTTCACAAGTTGAATGTAGAAAAAATAAGTTTAGTTCTGCTTTTATTTCTGAGACTGAATCCTTAGTTATTTTTTATTGCAATCGACGGCGAAATATCAAAGACATCAGCCTTGATATCTTTAAGTTATAGCTATTGTGAAAGACAATCCAAAAGTAATATTGAAGTATAGTATAAACTATTTCCATGTTGCATTTTTGGAAGAGTAAGCAAAAAGGAAGACTGACGAGATATATCTTAAAATAGATTGAATAAAACAATCTCTTTGTGATTAGCATTAGCAACTAAGTTGTGTTTCGTGTATTAATCCGCTAGAAATGGGTGTCGGTGTGGGTGTGGGTCAGTGGCGTACGCAGAAATTTTTCAAGGGGGGGCCCAACTTCGTAGGGGAGGGGGCGGCCATGGCACAAAAAATTTTTTATCACGTGAAAATATTTTTTCCTGTACCCCCCTCCAGGACTTTTTCGTCTCAAGGGGGGGCCCGGGCCCCCTCGGCCCCCCCCCTGCGTACGCCACTGGTGTGGGTGGGTGTAGGTGTGGGTGTGGGTGTGGATGGGTGTGGGTGTGGATGGGTGTGGGTGTGGGTGTGAGTGTGGGCGAAGACAAGACCTAAAACCATACCCACACCTACCTCCACCCACACCCACACCCACCATCCACACCCTGCTAACGACTTTTAATATATATTGAAGTTTCTTGAGTTCATTCTTCGTGAATCTATTGGAAATAAATGTGGAAACCTCGGATTTAAATCCGAGAGTTATGTGTACTTCAAAAAGTGAATGACACAAATCGGTCATCCTACAATGTGTGGATATAAAAATCAACCTGGCACACCTTTTCTATAAACACTTGAATTCTATTGGCCACTGCTCAGCCAATAGGATTTCAGGGTGAATACAGCTCAGATTGGGACTCTTCGCCTTGATTTACCCTCAGAAAGACGTTTTCCCTATAACTTGATTTCTATTGGTCAGTGTTCAACCAATGAGGCTTCGAGGCCAGTAAAGTACAGATTCGAGTTCTCCGTCCGAAAAAACCTCGAGCTATCATCTCTATGATCAGAAGATAGAGCTCTGCTTATGGATCGATTAGAGCGCAGACAAAACCAGAACCGATTTCCCTTTGTTTATCTTTGTAATAGGTGAGCTAGCCTTCTTGTTTCTTAACGTTTTATATACCATTTTGTAGCTCGTGAAATTCTCTATCGAATGGTATATGATAGTTGGGGTTTTAGTTGACTATGATAGGAATAGTGTTTTACGAAAGTGGGGATAGGTCGATTTTCCTATAGGAAGCCATATGAAAAAATGAGTATTTTTGCAATAACTCAGAAATGGCTCGGCCGATCCTTCTCATCTTTGAACTCGACCGAGATATTGTTAAGACTGAACTGTGTAGAAAATTTCATCGTGATCGGAGTCTCCTTTCAAAAGTTATCGTGTTAACGGCCGGCCGGCCGGACGGGCACACTGACCGATTCTAGAATGTACTCACTTTTTGAGTACACAAAAATTCAAGTCCATAGAGTGTAAATCGAGCCAGATACTAAAAAGAATGCCAAGAAAAATATTTATTTTGATGTACTCGCTGTATTTTCTTAAGGAAACTTTCTTGTCAAAAAAAAATTTTATTTAGAAATGCTATGTTAACATTTCCTGAGAAAAGCACTAATACAACGATTTCAGTAAAATTTTCTCAATTTACTCGTGATCAACTTGCAAAAATTCTTCCAAAGAATGGACAAAACATAGTTGTATGTAGAAAACAATATTTTTTTTAAAATCTTGTTTCTTTCAAAATATCGTTTCATAGGCCAAAGAAACACTTTTTGATAATGTCTATGTTATTGAACCACATGAACATCGTTTTTCTTCTAATATTGAATTTGGAATACCATTTCAAGAATTTAATAATAATGAAAAAAATGTTGATGTTCTGCAATTTGAACCTCGAAATGGTGTCTATTTAAAATTACCTACGACACTTGATACAAATAATCGTATGCTTAAATTTCAATCAGATACAGCTGGCGTATTTGTATTTGTTGAAAGACCATTAACTGTAAGTTTATTAATAAATATTTTTTTAAAGATTGAGATTTTGTTTTGTTTGTTTGAAAATTATTTAGCCAATATGGATTGCTGGTATAGTTATACCTATTATATTAGTAATTATTATTGTTATTTCAACAATAGTCTATTTTAAATTAAGTCCAAATAGGTATACAGAAGTTAAAGATGAATTATCAAAGACAAAACGTTCGTTTTTATCACGTGTTTAATTATAATAATGTATATTAACTAACAAATCTCTGTTTTTATAATTAACTATATATATGCATATATTTTTTTAAAGTTTTATTATCAATACAATTAATAAATTCATATCTATCTTATGTAGCAACTCGATATAGAAAGTGAAAAACTAATTAAATTGTTCAATTAGAATAATAAGAGAAGAAGTGTAAGAAGATTTTTTCAAATAAAAAAACTTGTCGATACAGTCCCTTTGGAGCTGAAATATGATATTCACATGTATTCTCTAGTCTCATTATACTAATACGTACAGTGAAAAATCTCTAAAAGATTATAGTAGTTTTCCAAGAATAATCGATCGCTAGAGAAATGATCTTACTTATTTATTTCTACATATTGAACAGAAATTTTTCTGTTGTTGATGCTTTAGTTTTGATTTGTTATTTTAATATTTTCTATTGCTTAATTTAACATTATTATCATTCTAAACATTGATGTCAATAGTACATATCCATCATATTTACAACATGTCTAAATACAATATTATATTTCTCAATAAGCTCACAAATGATAATAGTGATTATTCCTCAAAGTTATGACTTGATCAGCGTATGCTTTTATGTTGATCATGTAACAACTGTGGCAAGTCTATTCATCACTATCCACTATCCTTGACATCTTGAATAGATGTTTTTATCGGCGTAACAATTGCATTATTAAGAACATTCACAAATATATTCTAGCTATTCAAAATTCGAGGAAAGTCTTAGAATGTTCTAGGATCTTTTACAAACAATGTAAGTCTTGTTGTTTATACTGTTCAGTGTCATTTCCCATGGCTAAGGAATTCTCGAAAAGGAACATGAAGTTTGATGTCTTCAGTTGCTTTGGAAATGTACCTAATTACTATTAAGTCCCTCTCTACCATCGTTAGGGAAAACATACTCATCGGTCTCTAACCTTGAACTCAGATAACCAAGATCACGGAAGAGTAACCAAAAAAAAGTATAACTTGGTCTTTTCTATATGACTATAAAATATGGAATAATTATGTCTTATGTTCATAGAGTAACTGGTACAAATAAAATGTTTCGAATAGTACGGTTCGGCTTGATATTTCTATTATTAAAACAAAAAAAAATATGTGCAATTGATGAAAATATGCCATAAATATTTTATCTGAATGTGACATACGTTAAATTTTGAATAAGTTAGTAAATTATTCAATAATCGACAAAATTATGTATGATAAATAAATTGGTTTTCAAAGATTGCATGACTTTAGTTATCATTTTAGTAAGAGCGTTAAAGATCAAACAGTATCATGTAAAAAATTATTTTCCCTACAGTTTCAAAGTTACAACTTTTCACTGCCATTGAATATCGTTTTATTTATGAGGATATTGATACAGTTTGTTTTTCTATGATATGTATTGATGTATTTTAATCCAAATACTGTTCTAATTAAATGAATTCAAAACTTTACCATTTAATGAGAGAACATTTCATTAAATGGATCATTTTCTTGTATGAACAATAACTTTAAAATTTATTGATTTAAAACACATTAACTATGGAAACATTTAATCATAGTAAAGAACACATATTTTATGAATATTCTAATCGTATGTTTCACTATCACAGTATTGATCTATTAGAATTATGTAGAACACTTCCTCAAGCATATAAAAAATATAGATGATGTCGACTATGATATACAAATAGAACAATTAAATCTAATTTATTAGCAGTAAATTCCATTTGATCGAATATTACATATCTGATATTTAATAACATCTTTACCAGAGGGGATATCTGCTACTATTTTGAATTTTCCTTAATCAGACTCAATGGATAAATCTATATAAAATTATTTTCTACATGTAGAACAACTTTGTGTATCAATTATTAGTAAATTAAATGTATATATTGGCTTAAAGAATCGATTGATACAGTATTAGATATATGGAAATAATGCCAAACTATATATGTATATATATATTTCAAAATATATCAATTAAAAAAAAAAGAAACAAGACGCACACATAGTTTAAAAAAAAAAGAAGAATCGCACACTGTCTGGTTTCAAATTGTTAAAATTTGGTTTCGCATCTTTTTTTTTACTGTTAGAACATAATAAACAAGTTGATTGCTACAAATCTTTCCCTTAGTTAGAGACGTTACACAATATAAACTGTAATTCCGAATCGATACAAAATGAAATGAAAACAAAAATGAAGTACCACATTATTGCACAACAAAATTAAAATATAGCAGAAAACATATAAGTAGAACAAAAAGAACAAGAAGACCGGTATAAATGTTATTAAGCAGCTGATTCGCTTTCTTTTGAACCAAATGGTTGTGATGCTGATCGTTCAATAGAACGTTTTATACTTGCATTTTGACGATCATATTTTTGAGAATATAGCCAATCCGTTCTACAAAAAAAATTCAATAATAGTTTATGGAACATTGATAAAACCAAAAAAAAACAAAATACAACCAAAAAAAAATATCACCGCAAAGTCAAAACTAAAACAAAAAGCTGACAAGCATTTTTAGTATTGAATAGGATGCAATATGCATGCATTTCTTTTCGTTTCTCAAATCTTCAACTTTATACTTACATACTGATATTAACAACAAAATCGAAAAAATCTGACTCTCGAATGTCGTATATCAAATCTGAATAAATATTACGAAAAGAAATGTTCTTAATATTAAAAAAATGAAAAAATAATTTCATCATGTTTCTGATGATAATTGAAATTTTTCAATCAGGGAAGTCCTTCATGTAATAAATCGTGTTCGGGTCGAAACTACGTACATTATGTACCCCCAAATGATCTATGAATATATTGAAAAAAGTTTGTGCCTGTAACTTATTGTTCTTGAGATACTACATTCTTACATATGCTTTTTTTTTCAATGCCATGGCTACCTCAGATAAAGTGATTTTCGAATTTCAATTTGAAACTTTCTATACAGACAGATCCGAACAAGAATAGTTTATTATGAAATTTTCAGATCTTTTCGTTGTTCCTATCCTAAGATACAGCTATGGTAAAAGGATGTCTTTTACATCAACATATTTGACGCTCTTATTTTAGAATAAAAGCAAACTAATAGATCATTTCTGCTAGTTTCTTCATAAGAACACGAACTCTTTCCAGGATATTCATACTTCATTTGACTCTACATAATGTACCTAGTTACATTGAAACTGAATATTTCTATTAAAAAGATATTGAATTTGTTAAGAAGTCTTCCTCTTGATTAGCAAAAAAAAATACCAAGATTTAAAATTAAAACAAAAAAAAGTTAAAATTTTTGTTATTCAATGCAACAAACAAGTTAGATGATTTCCCTTTTTTTGCTCTACCAATTTTAATAATATTTATATTCATGTTTCTATTGTGTACGAGAAGTTTTATCATATCTAAAATAAAACATAATGACTCACACCAATAAATCAAACAAATAGGACAACATAAAAAAATAATATAAAATCAACAACACCGAATTTGAATTTCCTGAACAATTACAAACAACAATATTCTACCTTTATCTTTCCCTATTCAGAATCTATACAAAGTACGGATGTATTATATCTAGAGAAAGAGAAATTTCTTCATAATAAATGCTTCTCCATGTAAAAAATTTCATTTTAGTCAATAGAACAAAAAAAAATAAAATTAAAACTTACTGTTCAATAATAATTGGAATTGAAATAGGATTATGAGGAAATTCGTGTTCAAGTTCAGAAATTGTAAATAAATAATGAACTTTATGATAGAATTTATTGCTATAAATATATAATATATATTTAATATCCAAAAGAAGAGAATAACTTTTTTTTACCTAAAGAATGGACGAGAAAGAGCAATAACAGTACGTAACCATCGTGTTGGATGTACGACATAAATAGCACGAAGATTTTTTCGTAATCTAATTCGAAAAAAAAGAAATATATAAACAAGACAATGATTCAATTGAATATAAGAAAAAAAGAAAGACATTCTATATACCGAAAATTAATCATTTGATAATATTTACGAAGAAATTTCAATTCTGGTGTTCGATGTTTTGGTGTTGCACCATGAAAATAAATAAGTACGTAATCATTACTTACTAATTTTTCTAACTTATGATAAACATAACTAAAAAAAAAAAAAGAAATAAAATTGATCAAAACAAAAAAAACTAATAATAACAGATTGACTAACTAAAACAATTGGTCCATAATATAATGATATTCTCTTAAACGACGATCAGGTAACCAACAACCATAGATAGCAATAATAGCTATTTTATTATCTTCTTCTAATTTACCGGCTGAACCAAAAACACATTTAAATGGTGAAATTGTTTTAGCATCGATATTAACTGGATTATTATCAATCATACATGAAATCACACCGTTTTCTTCATCTGGATCAATGTCAGTATAATCTTTCGATGTTGGACGAAGAATTGCTAAGCAGACGAAAGAAAAAAGAATGAAGATTAGTTTTTTGTTTTTGTTTTCTTTCTAATTAATAATAGATAGAATTTCTACAAATATTTTGCATTTTTTTTTTCTTCTGTTTATATATTTGTTTATATTAATGAATGTATTAACGGAAATGAATCGATATAATTTCCTGAAATATAAACTGCATTAGACAAATAGATTTTTGATAAAAATCTTCTTTTCTTTTCTTTTTTTTGGTGTCTAATTGAAATCTATAGATAGAAACTAATGTCATTTATTCGATTCTCTTCATAACCAATTATTGAAAACATATTTTCTTAGATTCTTTATCGAATCCTCAGTAGCACTTGATTGTTTGTCAGATGTTCTTCTTTCCTACTCGTCAATGTTTCACAGAATAACAACAACAAGCATTTTATATTTATGAATGAATAAATGAAAAAAAATAGAAAGCCTACTAGAAATTCTATTACTCGAAGAGAATTACGTCGTTCATCTTATGATTGAGTAGTGATGCTGTTATTTCAACTAACAAAGACACGCACATATATATTCATATTTTTATTGAGAGAATAAATCTCATTTTGTTGTCATTACGCTTCTGTTTTTCCTGATACTAACCGAGAACGAGAATATATGATAGAAACTGAAATCGAAAACAATATTTTTCTTTATTTCTTTTACAAACAAATCTTTTGTTTTGTTTTTCTTAGGACAAGATGAATCATCCTCTGCGAGGAGAAAATAATGATAACGATAAATTATTAAAAAAAACTTTATTTCTTGGCTTTACACCTCTTGTAATTGCTGCATTACTTTATGTTAGTTTAAGTCTATGTATTCAACTATCAAGATGTTATTCAAATTGGCGTCTGAAACAACAATTAACTATTGTAAGATGTTCAGAACAATGTCTTATTGTTTCAAATCCATCAATAGATGATATTAACCAGCAGTCCACTCCACAAATCGTTTAACTTATCGTGCATGGTATATATATATATATGTAGCTTCCCATTGTATCAATATAAATGCCATCATTTAGTAGACGGAAAAACGATGAGAATATTACATGCAATAGTTTACTTCTCTTTCCGCCCCTGCTGTTTATATACATGTATACATACGTAAGTCCATATTCGTGTGGGGATAATCAGACAAGCTACTGTACTGTCGTTTTTTTTCTCTGATGCATTGGTTCTTGTTGTTGTTGTTATTATTATTATTATTGCCTCTTTTTTTTGTATCAACACTTCGTTAGCAACATGCCGTAGTTAGTAAAGTCAAGATAATGTCCATTCTACGTAAATCTTTATCAGATGAAAAGGCATACCACAAAATCTCAGTTTCTATCGAATGATTGATGCACCAGATAATTGTATAAGTAACTGTTTTCTATGCAATATTATGGAACAATGTTCACGTCAATGTATTCGTCGAACATTTTATGCTGTTCTGGTCGGTGTATCGCCAATTGTTATTTGTTTATTATTTATTGGTCTCGCTCGTTTAATATTATATCGTCTAGAAATAGCGTATTATCGTCGACAAAAAATAACGGATCGTCGTACATCATTACTTTCTTATCAAAGTGGTCGTCTTGCACTTTCTTATACACCTGTATCAAATGCTGAAATACAACGTATTATTCAAGGCGAATATCAAAATCAACTAACAAGAGATCCATCATCATTTGTTTACAATAGTCATAGTAATATACGCAAAGCTCCAAGATTTATTAGATCATTATTACCAAAACGCGAATCAGCATTACCAGCACCGAATATTATTGCAAGTCTTGTTATGCGTCGTAATGCTTTAGATGCAGGATCAGTTACAGGAATACTTGCACCGATTGAGACACCATTACAACCTACATTTTCTATAATTAATGAACAAGAAAAACGACGACCAAGTACTATTACTGTAACAAACGAATCAATTGAAACAACAACAACATTAGCAACAAAGAATAATAATAAATATAATAATAATAATTATTATCATGGAAGTTTTTCGACTACGCATGATTTAATTGAATCTGAACAAATACCACATGATCAATTATTGTCTGCGACAAAAACATTAACAACAACAGTTTTTGTTGAAGAACTACTTGATTTTCATTCAGTTAGTTCAATACCATGTGCATTAACTTTACTTAATCAGGTTACAGAGAATGATAATGAGAAAAATTCAGAAATAAATAAAAATTATGAAGAAAAATAATAGATAAGTATTTTCAAGAAAAAAAAAGAAAACATATCGTTTGATATGATCATAATGTTGAATGTAATAATAATAATGAGGATAACATATATACTGTACAGTTAAGATTTCTCGCTCCATTGTATATATATATATATATTCACGCTAGTAAACAACTCTATTGACTACAAATACTCATTTCAATATATATATTCTCCTTGTTTTTATATTCTATTCAGTGACTTGTATCATTAAATAAGTTATATACGCTGATATTGTCAGCTATACACTACTATTTTTTTTTCTTATCGTATCACTTGAATATATAGAAAAACATCAAAACTGGATACTAAAAAAGTTAATAGTAATGAAGATAATCTATCAAAACTGGTTATTACATCGTTTGTATGAAGTACGATGTAGTAATAGACAAGCTTATCCATCAGAAAAACTTAATTAAAATACCAATAAACTATATGTATTAAAGATGCCAAAATGTCAAATAAGCATTTGATTGATGTTAATAAGAAAATAGAATATCTTTGCATGTTTGATGAGACTTATATGATCGATATTTCAGTTAAAGAAACTCATAAAAGTTCAATAGGAAAACTAAGCGATGGCGTATTAAAAAATCACTTTATCTCATCTGCAAATTAAAACTGATGATGTAGCAGATAATGAGACATTGACTATTTTTTCACGGAGAAATTATTAATATGTTATTCGATCAATTAAATTCATCATCATCAAAAAACGTTTCCAACGTCATTTATAAATAGTATCATTGAAATTATTAATAAAACGAGTCAAAATTTTGATCAATCAAAGGAAATATTGACTGAAAATATTACTAAAACATCTTCTGTTTTAACGATTGTTCAAGTACAAATTTTATTGGCTAATATAAAACAGAATGAAAAGCTTTTTCGTTATCTTAATTATCTTAGAATAAAAAAGAAGTATACCAGCCATTTAAAATTATCAATATCAGTAATAAAAAGTTTTATTTTTGTTTTTGTCTTATCTTTCTTTGGCCTAGAATGAATATTCATATGTTCATAAAACTTTATTACAACAAGAATCAATAGCCATCATTGATCTTGAACAACTATATCATTCATTAAAAATGATTGATTTAACAGGTTATTTAACTCGAAAGCAAATATTTGAATTAGAAAACTCTAATTGATGATCAAACTAGAAAACCAAAATATCAACTTCCATTAACAATATCATCTAGCGACATTCTACTAATTCTTATTACATGTACTATCAATACATCGCTTTGAACAATAATATTGTACAACTATTTAATATACTTAACTATCAGCATTATTAAACTAAATAATAGTTGATTTTAACTTCATTAGAGTCAGTCTTATTATGATATGATTTCAAGTCATAATAATAATTATTATTCTCAAACAATAAACTAATAAGAACAACAATACTATCAGTATCATATATCTTTAACTATACTGACAGATAAAACTTGAGACCAGCAATAATTTTAAATTTTCTTCTCGATGGTAATAGTCAGAAAAAATAAACAACAACGTTTGTGTAGCTGAAATAATTCTCTATCAGAATTGGTTAGCTCGAAGACTTCAGAAGAACTACTTGAATGAGGACCTTCGAAAACCAAGACCTACTAAACCAGATCTCTGATATTCATTCGAAGCTTTTAGGAAAATATTTTGTTTAACAGAGCAAATAATTCTTAGAAAAATGAAATGTCTTCGATTCCTCCATGATCTTCCTTCATCGAACTACATCCAATTTCCAGAAAGTTCAACAAGCATTTTTCTTTTCCTTTTATTGAAAATTTCAACATTTTGGCCATGTTCTGCGCTTTTCGGTCCTCTATTAATTAGAAATTTTTTTCCCAAAAGCTTTGAATGGATGCCAGAAATCTAGTTTTGGAGGAGGAATTTTGATTTTTCGAAGACTCTCATTTAATCAGCTCTTTTGAAATTTTGGAGCTTACCAATCCTGCTAGAGAGTCTTTTCAGCTACACAAATCTTTTTTTTTTGTCATTGTTAGCTATTACTATCTAGAAGGCAATTTAAAAATACAGCTCATCTAAACTTATGTTCTCAACTATATTATAAATACAAATCATATTTATTACTATACCTGAATCAAATGATCGAGCTAGTGGTCGATCTGTATCATTTAATAATAATTTTGCATCAGTTGTTGTTTGAATAGTTGGGGTAATTTCTGGTTCAGAACGTAAATTTATTGTACGTTTTAAATCTATATTAGGTTTTGGTGATGATGATGATGATGCCGCTATTTTTGATGGAATGCTATCAGTTGAAGAGGCTATAATATATAAATAAATAAATAAATAAATAAACTTAAATTTTATTAAATAATGAAAGTACTTGATTTTTTATTTAATGGTGGTAGCGGTGGTAATGGTGGTGGCAAATCTTCACTTTCTGTGGATGATATATGATTTTCTTGTTGATGAGTAATATTATGTGTTGTAGCTTCATTTGTTTCATTATCAATTTTTTTATCATCATTATTTTCTTTCTCCTTTGTGTCTTTCACATGCATAAAATCAGTAATTCGATCACTAATTGTTTGAAAATTTGGTGTCATATCATCTTCATCTTCAATCTCATCTGTATCACTAGTTGTAGTTGATGCCAAAGATTCATTAAGACTATCTTTTGGTGTTAAAACAGCAACCTTTTCTATATTTTCATCAAATCGTACTGTTTTTGATAATGGTGCTGCACTAGTTTCTTCAGTTGATTTATGTTTACTAAAATATTTATCATAATCTTCTCCATCACTTTCGCCAGTATTTTCTTCATCTTCAGATTCTTTTATTGTTGGTGGCAATGCTGGTGCTACTCTTAATGTTGGAGAATCCAAAGGAACATTATCATATGAATTGTATCTTTGTGATATAGTTGCTGGCATTGGTTTTATTTTTTCTTCGCCATTATCTTCAAGTTCCCATGGTTCATCATCACCAGCAGTAGATTTCATTATGTCAGATTGTTGTTGAAATGCTTCTGATGATGCTTCATGAAATTCATTATCAACTTCACCTGTTATTGATTTAACACCTAGGGTATTAAGTGGTTGATCACTAGCATACGCTTCAAACTGTGATGTGTTGGCAAACATATTGGCTTCTTTTTTCGATTGATCATCATCATTATTGTCATCGTCACTGCCGGTACTTAAACTATCATTGTCATTGCTTTCTGTTGTTGTTGGTGCGTCAATAACATGTTGATTCTCAGTTGACTTTAAAAAAAGAAAGCAAACTATTGTTTTATTTTACTGAATAGAATAAAACTACGTACTGATATATTTTTTGACTCAATTGATTCTTCATTGTTTTTTTCATCAGTCGTTATTGATGATTCGTTCTAAATATATAATTCAATAGAATTACTCAAGTGTATGACACAGCCTAAGATAAATGAAATCAAGTGAGAAAAAAAAATGCATATTAGCTGAAAGCTTTATAGCAAACTGTGCTCAATTATTTTTTACCCCTATACTTAAAAGAATTTTTTAAAAAAAGAAAAAGTATTAGAAATGAATTATGAAAATGAATTACCTTATTTAAAATAAAATCATTTTGAAAAATCGAACAATCATCAATATTCATGTTTCTAACCGATTCTATCAATGAATATTTTGTCAGATTATTAGTTGTAATAATTGAATCAAAAGGATTTATTAGTAATGATGACGACAGAGACTCTTTTAAATGGTTTTCTTCATTTGATATTGGAGAAAATAAGTTTGATTCATCAAATGTATTCGAATAAAATGATATTATATCAATATTATTTTGGTTTATAATATCATCAGGTACTTCAAATTGTTTAATCCATATACTGTCAAATGTTTGATCAAATGGATCGGGTGATTGATCATTTGTTTGGTTATACCAATCAACAACTAAACCACGATTATCAACTGTCAAATTGTTATCTTCATTATTAACTTCATAAATTGCTTGTGATAAGATTTGATCAACAAAATTTTCAACTCTTTTAGATTCATGGATGTCATCTAATTCTAATTGAAGAATATTTGAAGTCAATTTTTCAACTATTTGTCTAAGATCAGTATTGATAGAAGATACTACATGATTTTCTTGCTGTTTTTCGCTTTGAATAATAATATCAGATTGTTGAAATTCATTATTAGACAATATACCATTTTGAATAATGTTTGTTACTCTATGATTGTCTTGAATAATATTTTCAAGATTTTCTATTGAATGAAATGTAGATGAAGATTTTAAATCATCATTTAAATGACTTATAATCCAATATAGATAATCAATGAGATCATTGTTATCGGTGTCGTCATTAAGTAAAGATTCATAAGACATAAATTGATTTTGTAAATCATCAGAATTAGAATCGGTATTATTTTTTGTTGTTGTTTGTTGTAAGTTATCGATTATTAAATGATTCGATGATGTTATTGAACTGTTTGATTCATTTGTTAACGTTATTAACGAAGATGTTGCATCAGAGTCGAAAATAATATCACTACAATGCGATTCATCATTATTCAATAAACCAGAAGATGTTAATGATGTTAAAGAAAAACATATTGATGGAATTGTTTCATCTTTTCTTTCATTGTTTTTCTTATGACGTTCATTATCATTATTATTCGATATTAAGTTATGAATAATATTACTGTTTTCTTGTTCATATTGTTGAATTTTTTCATTTGTCTTTTGATTTGCTTCAGAAGATAATCGAGGTATATAAACTAAACCATGAATTTGAGCAAGAGTATTTAATAAATCTAAATCATTATCAAATTCATCATCTGAACTCATCATTTGATAATGATTTTGTTGTTCGTGTTTATTGTTCATAATATCTTTTATGTTGATATTTGAACAGGAATTTTCTTGTACTTTCTCTTCTATATTTTCTATTAGGTTAGTACTATTAATAGTATCAACATTTTCTTTCTCTTCTTTTTCTCTGAGAAGGTGATTGACAGTAGTAACAGAAACATTCTTTGTTGTTTTTATGTTAGAACGACTGTTCTTTTCACTGTTCGATATTGATAATAATGATGATGATGGGGATGATTGTTGTTGTATATTTTCGTAATGCTCAATTGATTTGCTTTCAATTTTATTATCGTTGAATGCCTGTGGTGATGTATGAAATACACTAGGAACAATATTTGTTTGCTTGACTAAATCCAATTGCTATCAAAAACAAAAAAAATAAGAAAATGATAAATTGATCTCTTTTTTTTTCCTTTTTGGTGCTAACCGATTGATGGATAATGATGACAGCATCTATCAATGTGGTATTACATAATATGTATATCCTATCGAGAGGATAAATCAACTACTGACGAAATAGAATTGATTTAGCCAGAAAAAAGAAGAATCAAAACCACATGAGAATATAAAGAGGTTGTTTATCCTTGACTTTTGTTGAAGGACAATGCTGTAATAAGTAAGCACTCTCCCTGTCCTCCTACACTCTCAAAAATCGATTATTGGACCAGGTACATTCAAATCATATCAAATTTTCTGGAGATATTCAGCAATCAAGGGTTAATAATAACTTATTTGTTCTTTGTAGGTCCTCAATTCTATAGATTTAATTTGCAGTGGCCCTTTGTTCTTATTTCTTACGTTTTATGTAAAGACACAGATTAATAAATGTTCAATATCCCGAAAAACTCTCAAAAAAAATGTTCAAATATTTATAGAAATATTTTTTTCATCTTGTAATAGAAAAGCTTAATTCAAATATAGGTCTCAGCTAGACATTATAGGCTGACATGCTCTTTGAAAAAGAAGAAAAAGTAATTGATTACAATGGAATTTCCTTTGAGAATTCTTGGGTACGCAATCAGAAACGTCTAAACAGAAAGCTGAACAAAAAACAGGATATTTTTCAAGCAAAATGTCGACAAAAAAACGAGGTGACCAATAAGAAAAAAGTACGTCATTTATGAAAGAACAAACTTCGGATTATCTTCTCATACATTTATCGAGATTTTGATGTCTCTGATGAAAATTGATTTTCTTTTTCTTTTTCTTTTTGAGAGAATAAGACAACCTTAAAAAAAAAAGAATTTACCTGTTGATGATCATTATCATATAATACTTGTTCAAATATACTTGGATTATGCATAACAGCAATGAACTCATCATCATTATCATGTTCATTAAACATATGTCTCATATTAATAATATCATGAACGATTTCATTTTGTCTCATATCATTTTTTAACCGAAGTAGGTTTTCTAATGATACTCTAGATAATACTGGTTGATCAGAAGTAAACGTTTCTAAATCATCATCATCACCATCATCGGCTATAGCAATAGGAACTGATTGAATAGGTTTTATTACATGTATATCATCACCAATGTCAACTATAGATGATTGATCTGGAATAGGTGATGATGAATGTGTACTAGGACTTTGTTGACTTGAAGATGATCTTGAACGATGATAATCAAGATTAATTTGTAGAGATAATTCATCATTATTATCACAATTGAATATATTATTTTCAAAATGAAATTTATCCTCATCATCCTTATCATCATCAGATGATGTTACAAAATCATCATCATTAATAAAAATTCGAGCTTGATCATTATAACCAATACTTAAATGAGATGAACCATTTGAACATATTGAATTACTGGGTGATGAATCAATAAAATCTACTTGATCATGTTGATCTAAATTTAAAGCAATGGAAGGTGGTAATGGTGCATTGGGTCGATCATTTTGTGAACTTGTTTTTCCAAGAATAAAATCATCATTCCATAGTGTCACATCATCGTCATCCTTATTTATCTCTTCGTCATCCTGGTCATCATCATCGTCATGCAGATGTGATGATGATAAGAGAGAATCAGGTGATGATGAACATATTGAATCTGATTGATCGAACATATCCATATGATCAAATAGTAATCTATCATCATCATCTTCTTCTTCATGTTCGTTTAAATCATCAATATCAGGAATATCTTTAAATAGAAACGGTATTTTTATTGAATTTTGTTGTTGGTGGTGTTCTTCGTGTGTAAAACCATTTAAAAATGAATCACTATTATTATCATCATTTTGATTATGATTATTTTTAACATGATGAACAAATCCATCAAGTAAATTATTATTTTTAGAATAATTAGATGTTAAATTATTATCATTATGAAATTTTTTCTTTATTAAAGTCGAATTATGTTGAATAGAAATACCATCAAAGTTATCATCTTCATCATCGATATCACTAAAGTCTTCGATAGGTGCTAATGATGGATGTGACGTCGATTGAATATTAGTACTATTAGAAATATTTTCTTCTTTTAAATTAGAATCATGTTCATCTATTTTTGATTCTTGTGTTGTTTGTTTTATATCAATCGATGGTGATATAGAATCGATAAATGCTGCCCTAGTAAATGGTTCAGAATTAACAAATAAGAATGAACCAAATATTGGTTGATAAGTTTTTTCATTATTAATAATTGTATTTATAGTATCGGATGATGATTTAATAGTAGTTGGTGGATCGATTTCAAATATTGACGGTAAATTAGCGTAAAATCTCAAAAGATCTTCAACGTCAGATGTCATTTTGATCAATTGAACATTTGTTGCATTCGTTGCGAAAAAAAAGGGAAGACAATCGACGGTGAGGAAGAAGAAAAGAACGCGAAGGAAAAGAATAAAGAATAAGAAAAAAAAGTACTAAAGAATTAACTATAGTCGAAGAGAATCTATCGAAAAAAAAGATGATGATACGTCTAAAATACGGAAGAAAAAAACGCAAGCAAGCAAATAAGCTAGCAAACTAAAAGAAAAAAGAAGGAATAACAACAACAATAAAAAATACACCAGTAAAAGCGTCAAAGACACTTTTTTTCTTATTCCTCTTTGCTTGACTGTCATTTTTTTCGCCACATATATATACACACTATTCTGGTGACTCAAGTTGTCCTTCGTTTATCGTATTGAGACCGAATTTCTTTTTCTTCTACTGTCAAAATTAATATATGACACATATATGATCAGAAGAAGGAAAGAACGAGAGTTTTTTTGTAACAATACTGAGAGATTCTTTTTTCCTAGAAATATTATTGAGTACAAGAGATGTCAATACACTTGCTGTAGGTTAATCTAATCAACTAAGTAAATGTTGTCCAAAGGACAAACATTGTTTTTTTTCATCTGAAATCGATCAATGTACAGACATCATCGAAACAAGTTTATCCTTCAATATAAATCGGTTACTTATTTATCCTTCATCATCAATGCAAACGACATTAACACGTTTATTTATATAGAAAAAAGAAAGGAAGTTTTCAACTGATTTCAGAATTTTTTTTTGTCGTTTTATTCATAAACATGAATGGCGATAATAATTGATTATGATTTCACACTATGTAGACATTCGACACATATGCATTTGTATGGATAGGCATGCGCGTCCTACATAAAACTAATGTCATAGGTGAAGAGAAGGATGCGACATTGACTAGTGATGGACGAGTAATAATTAAGTTATGTGTAGGAAGCAATTCATTTTCTTTCTTTTTTTTGTGTATTTCTCATGCTTTGTGTTCTTTTTTTCGACGTGAAAGGTTGCAGACGTCGTTGCGAAATATGATAGACGAATTTATATCAACGATTTATCAATTTAATTTCCTTTGTTAACAAATCATTTCATTTTCATGTTACACTTCAAAGTTTTTGTTCTCATTCTGAATGAAAGAGTTTTTCATATAATAGTTAACACATAATAAAAAAAATAAAAGAAAAAAGATATATGTGCATTAGAAGCAGCCATTTAAAGAACAATAATTGCATGCCATTATCTGCAGTTGTTACATATTCTTACATAAAGCAATCATTTGAGCGCATCAGCCAGTTAGCAAAACTTACGGCATTATTTGATGCTGAACCATCTTGAGTGAAATCATTTTTAGTCACATCAACAAAGTCGGGCTCGGATTCTGATGAAGAAGAACTTGATACGAATGTAGCTTGTTTTGCTGCTACTGTTGTCCTTATTTGGTCAGCAACATTACTAGATGTATCATCTTCTAGATGGAATAGATAAATTTTTATGAATAAAATAAACTAAATTGTCTCTATTTACTTGTAGGAGAAGATTCAGATTGAATTGTTTCTTCAGCTGGAAGTGACGAAGAGGGTAAAGATGGTTTTTCTTCATCCTCACTAATACTATTTGAACGACTTGTACTTGGTGTTGGAATATCATCATCTTCACCTCTTTCCATTTTTTTTTGAGCAAATGTTTATTTATGTTATAAAATAAATCTTAAAATAACATCAAAAAAAAAAATCATCATCTATTAACAATGTTAGTTAAGTGCAAACGTCCTTGGTATGTTACATCGAAATGATACTTTTTAGATAAACAGTATTTTTATCTTCAATCTTCAAGCATCAATTATCAAATAAGGAAGAAAACATGTCTACATACAAAAAAAAATAAAAGTAATAATATAAATAACATAATAAATGAAATTCATAAAATTTCATTGAAAAATTCTTACTTCAAACCCTTTGTATAGGTCATTAATCTATTTTATCACGCACAAAATATATAATCCTTTGGTAGTATGGAATGATTCGTTCGTAACAAAAAAACAAGGAGAGAACTGATCTTTTACTTACATAATGACAAACATGCGTTCGACTACAAATACATAAAAAAAATTCTATCTCACCAAGAATGAAAATTGCGTTTCTTTTTTCGTATGCTGAGTAATAAAAAAAGCCAGCGTAAGGAAGATGAATAAGCACACAACACAAACATTGGCATATAAAAAAATTTGTCTTATCATATGACATTACGATGCATCGTATTGTTACCGTTAAAAGATAGTGAAGCAGAGAGATGCAAACATAAAAAAAAAAAGAAAAAAATTCAAGTTTTTCTTCCATAAAGACAGAAGACCTATAATTTTGTACAAGCTAATATGGTAATTCACAGTGTAAATATTATTCTTTTTAAAAGAAATGATTACAACTTGCAAGAAAACGACAAGAAAAAAAAATGTCGCTTACACAAAAATCAACAATCACTAGGACAATAGTATAAAAGAAGCATTTGAAAGGCATTATATTTTTTAACATTAATACGAAAAATTTTCTAATGCCAACAACACAAAAACGACAACGTAGTATTTCTAAGACGAATACAGCTGATGGAACAGGTTAGACTAAAAAAACATATCTAATAAATCAAAATAAAACTTTTTTGTTTTTAGGTTCTACGATTGAACATAATAAACAAATTCGAATTGTTAAAACTCAAAGTCGACTACGAATGTTAGTCGAACAATTACCAAATGGACGAAAAAGGTTACATTTAAAAGGTAAAATTTTCATAAAGAAATCCAATATATTTAATTTAAATGTAAATCTTTCTATCTAGGTATTGATACATTAGCAATACCAAGTGAATTATATGAATTAACTGATTTGGATATACTTGATGTAACACCTGAATCAAAATCTGGAATGAATTATACATTGTCACGTGTTCCAGCTGATTTTTGTTTATTAACTAATCTTAAATGTTTACATTTAGATAATAATAATATAGTTTCATTTCCAAATGAAATTGGTGAATTACATCATTTAGAAATTTTAACAGCAAGTAATAATCATATAACAATATTACCTGATCAAATACGTCAATTACAACGTTTACAATCATTTCATTTATCAAATAATAAAATTGAAGAAATGCCATTATGTTTATGTTATTTATCAAAATCATTATTATTTCTTGATTTATCATATAATTATTTACGACAATTACCATCAAGTATTCATAATCTTAAACAATTACGTACATTATTATTACTTGGAAATCGTATTAAAATTTTACCAGATACAATATGTCAATTATCAAAATTAGAAACATTATGGTTAGGTGATAATAAATTGAAAGAATTACCAAAAACTTTTTCACAACTTAAGCATCTTGATTGGCATCATCATTGTGAACTATCATCAAATTTTGAAGGAAATCCGTTAGAAAATCCACCATTAGATGTTTGTCGAAAAGGCATGGAAGCTATTGAACAATATTTAAAAAAAACACAAAAATAATATAACATATGAGTATTTTTTTTTACTTTTTTGTATAAGTTTTATTTTATTTAATGTATAAAAATAATAATATTGACTTTTCAGTTGGAACCATAGATAACTCAAAATACACGAAGAATTTTTGCTAATTGTCTTATTGGTATTCATTTTAATGAATTGAAATTAGAATCCTATATTCGATAAAATTAACAATTCTGATAAGTTCTTTCCTGCACAGAATAATTTGAGCAACTCATCTATATTATCGAATCATAGTATTTATGTATATGATCATTGCACGCATTGAACTAATCATAGTAAGGATTATTAAAGTTGCTGTGCTTGATAACGAATTTGTCATGTGTTTATTAGCCCGATCTAACGAGGCACTCTGATTGGTATTTAAAACAAAAAACGTAATCTTTGCATAGACTGATATACTTTTGACTATGAAAAAGTTACTGAAATCTATAGGCTTAATCAAGATACTATTTTTAAAACTATACTAAATGGAATCCAAAGAAATGAAATATATTTGATTAAGGTCATGAATAAATTTAGTTACTTATAACTATCGTTCAATTTTAATTTATTTCAAGACAATTAATCAAAACCATATATAATAATCAAATCAAAAGAATTTACATTGAGCAACAAGAGATTCTTTCTGTTATTTAAAAATGAATTTAGCAGGAAGTATAATAAACTAAAAATCAAACCGAAAGCTTTGGTATATACTTTAAGGACTAAATCGAGCACATTAAAGAGTACACTTGTTTCGAAATGTCCATTAACATTCTCTTAAATATGGTCATCTTCTCTCGACATTTAAGACCTATATCTATATAATACGACAACCAATAAATATAAGAATATCTAAAGTTGTGATATACAATCAATACAAACTTACAAGTAAATTACTGTTAAACAGAGATGGACAAGTCATTTTTTCAAGTCATTTCAAAAAATCTTCATACCTTTTCTCATTTGAAGAGCATGGCTCTAATTTCAATGTGGCTAAATTCAGAAATGTTCAGGCTACAAAATGATATATTATGGTCAAATCTTTTCTCTATGAGAAGCGCCGTAATATCTCTAAAACACCTTGACTTAATGAAAATGACTTGGCTTAATCAGGTCAAGTTAAGTCATGGTGTTTTCAAAGTATTACAGCTCTTATCATAGAGAAAAACTTTAACCATAATATATCATTTTATAGCCTGAACATTTCTGAATTTAGCCACATTGAAATTAGAGCCATGCTCTTCAAATGAGAAAAGGTATGAAGATTTTTTGAAATGACTTGAAAAAATGACTTGCCCATCTCTGCTGTTAAATATGTATCTGTTGCAGACAAGGTCAGAATTCTAATATTGATTAGACACTTATCAGTCACAAACAAAATTCCAGTTTTATCTCAGCAAACTTAGAATTCGGCTAAAAATAAATCCATACAATAAAACAAAACAATTGCAATTTGAATAGAATAATATTTTCTTTATTGAGCAATGCTTTTTTTTATTTCACTAAACAATTTACAAATCTAACTTTTAGAACAGACTCGCCATCGCAACAGAATTTTATACTAAAACGTTCAAATAAATTGACCAAAATCATCATGAAAAAAAATCCATCGTAGTAAAAGTCAGCACTGACTCTTCAATAGACCTTCTTCATAAGAAGACAATATCTCTCTATTATTTTAAAGTGTTTTATAAGGTAATTTGGACTACACACATTTATCAGATTAGGTTTTCGAATGAGGGGTTGAACGAAAATATTTGTACCAACATGATCGACCACAAGGAAAAGAAAATGTGTACATCATAACTCCAATACATGTGAAATAATAGAAGACGAACCATTGCTTACGGTCAGGGTTTATTGTTGAGTGCAAGTATCCAACATATTAGTTCAATATCATAAAGAACACTAGCATTTCATAGAGAGTCGCTACTTTTTTCCAAGGCTGTACAGTTAATACATGAGATAAACTTCTTTTTTAATCTCGTGTTTGATGTTTTTTATTCAACATTTATAATACAAAATATTCTGAAGTTATTAAACTAATGATCAATATCAGCACAAAAAAGAGTTCATTATTTTATTTACAATATAAATTACTAAGTAGGAAAAATACCAAATAGAGATCGTATTTGATTAATATGTAATTCTGTTAATAATATTGTTAATAATAGAGTACACCAATATATCGTACTAGTATTTTGTATAAATTCCTAAGAAGTAAAAAAAACCAACGACAAAAATTTATAAAATCTACATATTTTTCTTTAATGAACATACCCACGTTCGATCAATAAAAATTGCAAATAAAAGATAATCTTGAATACTAAGTGCACATAAATATCTCCATAAATAAAATATCAAGATAGTTAATGGTGAATGTAAAATACTTAATTGTAAAGCCTAGAGAAGAAAAAACAGCTATTTTATTAAATAAATTTAAAAAATATACTAATTCAAACTTTTTGTTGTGACAAATATACTTTTGAATCAAGTAAATCTTCATAAGCATGTACATTTCTATCCCAAAACATAGCAGATAATGCATAACGTACTGAAAATAATGCTAATGTTATAAATATAGTTTGTTTTGTTTCAAGTAAATTAGAATTTGTATCATGTTTTTTTGATGATGAATGAATATGAGAATATGATTGTTCATCATCAATATTCAAAATAATTAAATCAGTTTCATCACCTCCTCCATCACTTGCGGATGAACTTAAATGTCGATTTGAACGTGTTATTGGTGATAATTTTGTACGGAATGGTCGTTGTTTATAAAAATAAAATAAACAACCAATAATAAGACATGTACCACCTAATACATCACTAATAACATCAACATAATAACCAAAATTTCCATAATAGGATTTAAAACGTTTATTATTGGTATGTGCACGATAAATGACACCATCAAAACAATCAAGAAATGTACGAAATTGAAATATAATAACACCTATTTGACGTCGAAATAATGATTCACTTGAAAGAAATTTCATTGTTATTAATGATAAAAAACAATGAAATAATGATATGGCATTTGCTGATATAAATGGAAAATAATATGTAAAATGTAATTTTGTTTCTATATTTTCAGCTAATGGTGAACGAATATAATGAATCTAAATATAAAGATATTAAATAAGATAATAATTATCATTTTTAATTGAAATATTTACAATTGGTTCGACCATAATTTTTTTTATTGGTAATGGATCAAATATATGTATTGTATGAGTTAATGTTGTTGGATTAGTTGTTTTATTTAATATTGTATTTGATAAAGTAAAATCTAATGATCCTCTTGAACGTATTTTAAAATAAAGTATAAGTTCCATTAATTGTAAATATATTATAAATAATACAAATAATGTATAGCCTGGATAAGATATAAGACGATGAAATACACGAACACAAAAATGTCCATGTTGATAAACAGATCGTGCTGGACCTGAACCATTACTTAATTTACGAATGTCAACAACCATTTGTAATTTATATTAAAAAATTATCATTATTCGACTTTTTTTTTTAAATACTATATCAATAATAAAACTAGAAAATGATTAGATTATTCATGATATTTATATAATGATAGTGCAAATTTTTTATCCGAATAAGAAACCTCATATGACAGAATAGAACGATCATGACATCAGGCCATGATCAGCTGTTCTTGTTCTATCGATAAGCATTTCTATATGGCTGTGTTGTTTTTTTCTTCTTTTGATTCACAAAATAAGGATATATACACGAGAAGAAAAAGAACAAGAAGAGGGTAAAGAATGACAGAGACAACAAAAAAAAGAAGAGAAATTCACGTACCACTTAATTGAACAATGCGTATACGTGCATAGATATCGAGTAACTCTCGATAATGCTGTTTATCCCCATTTACTCATCTATACTTCTGATCATGCTATTGAACATCCTCGAGCCATAAGTCTTTTCTTTTTCACTAAATTCCCTCTACTTATTTTTAAAACAATATAGAATCGAAATTTTTCCTATCATGAAATTTCATAAAAATTAGAGAGTTTGCACAACAAAAGGAAACAACGATTTTTTCTAGTCTATTCATTGATAAATAAACTAATTCTTAATGTACATACATCTACATGGCTGTCAAGAAAAAGACTGATAAGCAAGCAGCCATCAACAGTCGATCATATTTATTACTCTGAGAGAATGTACATCAATATATTGTACTATTATACAAGAATCTAATAAAATATATATAAGACTTACTTTATTCGTGTTATTGGCAATGTGTAAAAGATGGCGTGATTATCGAGCTATCAGTTAATGTTAAAACAAAAAAATAAAAATAAAAATAGTTTATCCAATATAAAAACAATTCACAATAGACATGCGCAACTTTCGTATTTTTCTTCTTGTTTTTTATCTGATCTTGTATCATTACTGCGATAATAAAAGAAACATAAATCATTCGATGATTCATATTTTGTAACTGATAAGTCTTAGGATGTCAATCTTTTTTGTGTTGTTTGCTTTTTTGCTTTTGACAATAAGTATGTTCGGTAAAAGAAATATTTAGAACTCTAATCATCAATGTTATTATCTTTACTATAGTGAAATAATAAAGAAAAAAAAAACAATCATTGCATAGAAATGAAGGGTATATGTTAGTTGTTTTCTCCTGTTTTTAAATTCAAATGAAAAAAAATCAAGCAAGACAAAAAAGAAACTGATAAAATAGTTGTTGTATTCATTGATCAACTTGTATCCATTGTATTATCCGAAGGTTTTTTTTCATCACTTTCTTCATTGGTTTTTTTATGATGCTTTTCCATGGCTTGAGCAAATGCTTGTACATCACCTTGATTTGCAGCTGTTATTGCTTCTTCTGGTAAACCAAATTGTGCTAAAACTGGACCTAATTGTCCTGTTTGTAAAGCAACACTAAATGACACACAAGAAAAAAAAAAAGACAAAACATTCAAATTCTAATAAGGAGACAAAAAAGATATTCAAACAAACCTAAATGTGCCAACAGCTTGTCGAAATTGTGGTGATTGAATTGATTCTCTTAATTCTTTTTCTGAACCTGAGACTGTACTACCTTCAGGTAGATGACTTCGTAATGTTTCTTGAACATCTTTATTACTTAATATTGGAATCAAATTCTAAATATGAAAGAACAAAAGAGACAATTGAAATGTTTCTTGTTGTTTTTTTCTAACCAATTTAATATTACCTCAGCAGTCATTATATCGTAAAGATCAATAGTCGGTTTACTAGCAGCCGCTGCTGCATTATCAGTTTCTTGAGCTGTAGTTTTATCACTTAAATTAGCCAAAATACTTGTGAGTGCACTCATTTGTATAGGACCACCTTTTGGTCCACCAGTTGTTCCTGCACTAGTTCCACTTTTTGGAGCAGCTGTTGATGGTGATGAACTTGTTCCAGCATTACGTGGTTTCGATGATGATGAACCACTAGGACGACTACTCGATGCTGATGTTGTTCCTCCAGTTGGTGTTGCTGTTGCGGTTGCTGTTCCTGTACTACGTGTTGCAGCTGGTGCTGTATTTGGACGAGAATCCGGTGTTTGTTGACCAAATGCATCTAGAAGAGATGTTGCGTGTTGAGTTGATGTACCAGGCAATACTCTACCACGATGACTACCTTGCATTAAACCTGGAGCACCACCACCACTTCCAACTGAAGATAATAATGATGCTAAATCATTCGGATTCATTCCTATATGTAAAAGGAAATTCGTTGTTTTTTTTATTTGTTTTCATAATGAAAAAATTTTATTTTCACCACGTAAAACATTTGATAAATCATTCGGATCAATGCCACCAGCACCACTGCTACCTGCCATACGATCCATTAATGATTGTAATGGATGAGCACCACTACCTAATCCACCAGCTCCACTACTATCATCACCAAAACCTGGTGTTGGTGGATGATTAAGCTACGAAAAACAAAAAAAAACATATTTTTCTGTTTACAATTAATATGAAAAATTTTATTTTACAAGATCATTTATTTTTTTACACCATTCTTCATCTTTATCGTCTTTTGGTTCTTGCATCCAAAAGAATAATTTACGAGCATTACTTCTCCATTTAAGAATATAAACACGTCCTAAAAGAAAAAAAAAATAAATTTTTAATTCGTGAATTTCATTCACTGTTTTTACCTGTTGTATTTTGTGTAACCTTTTTAAATTCAATTTCATCTGGAAATATAACAAGATCATCTTCTGGTGTATTACTTGATCGATCTTTCCAACAAAAATGCATTAACATATCATTGCCTTGGTATAAATAAACAAGACCTTTGCGTTTATCTGGATGAACCTAAAACATATAAGAAAATCAATTAATGACAAAAAAAAAGTTGAATAGGACACTTTATATATAACAGACCATTGTTCCACGCAAAGTCATTTTTCCTGCTTTAAATTCAACTAAATTTCGACTACGTGCTTGAGATGTGACTCCACCGAAAAGCGACATTTTTTTAATCGAATTTATAAATCGTGTAAATCTGAAAAGTGAAAATCGAAAATAAATCTTGGAACTGAATTATTTTACGGACAAACACAAATGGACAAACAGATAGAAGTATTTATTTATTTACAATGATTCAGTATTGTATGAACCAATTATAATTCTATCAATAGAGGTCTCATTGTATCAGTACAACATTTGAGTTCTTAGGGACAAAGAGCTAGGAAGCACTGATGGTTATAGGATTTTGGGTAAGAAGAAGAGCAATCACGGTCGCAAAATGCGTATTAAAGTCTAATAGAGATCCAATCAGCTCATTTTTGAACATTATTTCCTGAGAAAAATCGAAAAATGTTTTGAAAGAGAGAATAAAATCGAAGATGCGAAATTTTTCAGTATTTGAAAAAACTCGTGAGTGAATAATAACTATGTAGAATAGTGACAAGTGTGACGGGAACGTTTTAAACGAAAACAACTTTATCAAGACATCGCGATATCTAGTACTTTTCCTAAATACTTAACTTGAGAAATGTACGAACTATAGTTAACATCTCAGAAAGGTATTTGAGAAGTCTCTATTTTTAGTTATTCAAAAACTCAATTCAAACGAACTTTACTTGAAGAAGAGATTAGAAAATTTTCAAAAAATCAGGATTCGTTTTTCAAACATGAAGTTCGAAATTGATTCAGTTATTTTGAGTAGATGATACTCCTAAGTTTTCGCTTGATTTCATATAATTCATCTGTAAACATGCTCCGAACTTTGATATAGTGGAGACATCGATGACGTACGAACTAGTAATCATAAATATATATGAAACTTGTTTTTCTTTGTCTATTGAATTTTCATTTATTCACTTAATTTAGATAACCTATTGAAAATATATTGTTTATGAGAAGCATTGCAGTTCTTATCGAAAATAAAAAGTGTTTTTTGAATTTTTCAAGTTAGTACAAAAATAAGAAGCAAAATCATGATGTATCACTTCTTTTCAAAAAGAGATTCGGAAGCCAAAGAAATCGAAATACAATTGTTGCAGTTCTGAAATTTCTATTATAGACGTAAAACGAATCAATATGCGTATCCAATTACACTTTTCTCGACGGTTCTCATTATTGAACCGATCAAATACATTAATTTGGAATTGGAACTCATTTTATTTCTCAAACAAGTCCTATTCATACGAGTGACACAAAACAGCGATATTGAAATCATTTAGAATGATTATAGTCCATGCCTTATATATTCGTTATTCAGTTCATGTGAACGATACTAGTCTATTGTCATTTTTCTTGCCCATTCCTTAATTATTTTATTTTTATTTTTCTCTCAAGTTAAACTATTAAATGATAAATATAATTATCGGCATTTGCGTAAGCAAACCAATCAGCTGTGAACTTATCTTCTGCAAAAGAATCATATGCTCTATTCATATTTAAAACCATCGTTTTTTATGTATTTAACCATTATTGGTCTCTCTCATCAATTGAATGAATAATTTCTATGTATATATGAATTAATCTTTCTGTCCCAAATGCAGCAGCAATACAATTGTATATAGAAGTAAATCATTCAGTAGATAAGTATTTTCTTTATTTTTCTTTGATTCATAAATCAAAGACATTTGTTTTCTCCTCTCTCTTTTCTACCAGTCTATCGGATGGGTTTATATTTGACACAAAGAAACTCTCTTCTCATTGAACCAGAAACTATACAGTAAAGCTCTGTGTTTTGTAGTACATGTCTATCATTGGAACATTTATTTGTTATTGTATCACGAAGTATCCTCTCATTGTTTTCTCAATAGCACATTTCTCTGTACGCACGAGAGCGTATCTCTTGAAATAAAAACAAAAGAAAAATACTCTTTTTTTCTTCATTACATTTATTTTTTCGAACAAAAGAAAAAAATTACATTTTTGTTTTTAAAATTTCAATAATCTGTCTTAAACAATTAAGATGAGGATGATCAAGAGGTAGTAAACATTGTAGAGTATTTAGAGCACGTTCATACAATGAAAGTGCATTCGAATAGTCATCCATGTTGTCATACACCGTACCAACGTTGTTATAAGAACTGGCCAAGACAGGATGATTTGAAGGAAGAGTTTTCTGGCGGATTTCCAGTGCTTTTTGATGAGATAAAAGTGCACTCGAATAGTCACTCATGTTATTATACACTAGACTGATGTTGTTATAAGAAGTAGCCAACTGAGGATGATTCGAAGGAAGAGTTTTTTCATAGATTTCATGCGCTTTTTGAAGATATAAAAGTGCCTTTGAATAGTCCCCCATCTTTGCATGAACGACACCAATGTCGTTGTAACAGTCAGTCACATCTTGATGTTGTGTCAAGAGATTTTTTCGATGAGTTTTCAGCGATTTTTCATAAAATGTGAGCAAGTTTGCATATTCTCCTTGACTAATCTTGATCAGTCCGAGTTGATAAAATATATTTCCTCTCTCATCATCGTCATTCGTTCTTTGAGCAAGCAGTGTCCCGTATAAGTCTTCGGCTTTCTCATATTAGGCTAATTCTACCGTCAATTTCCCTAGTCGAAGCCATCCCGTCGATCCTTTCGTCTCTTCTCGCATCTGTGCAGTAAGTGCATGAAAATCCGGGTCATTATCACTGGTCAATGTTAAATTGACTTGTCAAAGACGATTGTTTCCATCGATTTGTTTCATTGCTTCAATACGAAAAATGGAATGCATGGAGAGGAGAACTTCTTCTCCTTTGAAGTAACTGATATCACGCACGTCAGCAAATAATGTTCAGACAATGGATGGATCAATTTTTATGACAAATAAATTACTCACAAGATTAGACGTTTCCATAGTTTGACGAGCAAAATTGCGGGATACTTTACGATGAATACTAGTCGATAAGAAATTGTTAAATAATAAGAGTCCACCTTGTAGCTTGACCATTCGATCAAAATCATTTTTCGGCAATCCTTGATCACGATAGACAGTAAATGCATGTGAAGTTGATTGTCCAGAAAACTGTTGAACATGAAGCTTAGCGATGTGATTATTGAGATCACTAATGAAAAAACCCATACTAATAATGAGATCGACCTCCATCATTCGTAAGGATCGATTAAACATCGAATAAAGAAAACATTGGTATGTATACCAGCATATCGGGAGATGCTTGTGATATTTCTTGTTGGAGTTTGTTGACATGATGAAGTTCACTCAGATTGTCAGCAAAAACATCGCGGCAGTACGTAAGAAATTCATCTATGTGATGTTGTTCGAAAGAAATAGTTAATAAAATTTCTTTCATTATTTGTGTGTACATGAATGAAGAATCCAGTTGGTCAAGGTTGTGTTTGCTGGTTCCACTACCAGCGGAGACAAAACTGATCGAAATCATGTTTTGATCACATTCTTGTTCTGCTTGTTGAAGGGCTTTACGGATTGGAGCAATATCTGTAAAGAGCCCTTTTATTTTTGGTCATTGTTTAGCCCATTGTTCATGTCGAGCTGTTTCCATAAAAAATATGAATTGTGCTGTCCTGAGGCATATCATGTATGATGGGAACTGTGGTTTACCCCAATGCATTAGAAGCGATCATAAACATTTTGTCCTGTTTGAGGTCGTGGATAAAACTAATACATCCATCGACATCTATGAATGTATTGATCTTGTTGACTACTTTCTTTGATTTTGAAACTGTATGCTTGCAATCCTTGTTGTGTTCTAGATCGATGTTACTTTCGAGCCAGACGAGCAAAAAATTCTGAACCATACTAGCATAAGGAGACGGTCGTAGGCTTATACTCGTATGTTCAGACGGTTTAGCAGCAGCAGTTATTGTTGTCGACTTTTTCTTTTTGTCCATGGTATGTGTTGTGTTTGATCAATGAAAAAATGAAAGTCAAATGACTTAAATTTGTATAGTATGTTCGAAGTTTTTCCTAGATGTTTCTATTTGACTTCGATTGATGTTGTCGTTCGAATGGTTTTTGTTTCCTTTTCGTTTCTTTTAAGTGCCTCTCATTTCTTTTGCATCAGTTATCGTCTCTGGTGCCACAAAAAACGAATGAATGAAGCAAAAACTGATGATCGTATAATTTCGTACACTGTCACATTTCGGTTTGTTTATATGATGTCTGGAAGTTTATTCTTTCGTTCATCGTAGATTGTCGTAAATGAATTTGTATATAGAAACAGAACATTGCACATTGTTGTTTGAAAATGCATAGAGAGTTCGTATTTCAGAAGGTTTTCCCTGCTTACTTAAGAGTTTAGCAGAATACAAAGCCAATGACAGCACAGGGAAAACGCTTCTGTTGTTGTTAAGATATAAAAAGTTTTTTCTTTTGCATCGACGTTCTCATACTCTTCTTCAAGAAAACTTATTGTAAATATCATCATTATTTTCTTTTAAAATCGAGAGATAACGTCTATGATATTTTTCCATGATTACTTGATTATGTTGTTGTACTTTATATGTCAGTTCGTAATTAATATATTTTGTATATTCACTCCAAGATCTTACTGAATATGAGATAAAGGAAATTCAAGTCTACTGAATAAATTGTTTTTGTTAAAAAGTATAAATAAGAAAAAAATGAAAATTTTTTCTATATTGCGATTCGAACCTTTTTATTACATTAGATTACTAAAATGTATTATTGATCGAATTTTTACGTAAATATAATTAATCATAAAACGGGTTAATTTTTTAAAATTGATAAGAATTTTTATGATTTCGATCTTTGTATTTTCTTTATCTTTTTATTTTTGTAGAAAAAGAGAGAATTCAGTAAGAACGCTTTTGAATCAGACATTAGTGGAAACTGATTAGATTCTTTTTTCGGACACTTAATCAAAATTGATAAGAAAATCATCGGTAATTTCAAAAAATCTTTTTATAAATTTGAAAAACGCAGTTGGATACACGTTTTTGTACTGATATCTATTTGAACCTATCTTTTTGTAGAATAATGGAAATACAGAATAATTTCTAGCATAGTATCCTTTTACCATAGCACTAAAGTAGAATTGGAAGTAGGTCAATTGTTCAATTAACTAGAAATTATCAATTTTGAAATTTACTATTGATTAAATGGGTATTAAATTTTGAGATTTTTCAATAACTATCATGAAATCAAATTTACAATTATTATATGATAGTTATACTATCTAAAATTGGATATGGGTAACGAAATGCTGTATCATAATTTTTGACAAGCCAGATTAATAACATTTCTACCATAGAGACTTGTGTAATTACGATCGTAATAAAATTTGTCTCCAATAGTCTAGAAATAATTCTTAATTGAAGGTATTTTCAAACACAACATACTTGGAGAATTACAATGAATTCTACCACATACGAAGCAAGAGAGTTTACTCTTTCGTCATTAAAAAAAGGTCATATGGTGTAGCACTCTATTTGTTATGCTTTGTTTGCAAACATGTCATGATATCAGAAAACACAATAACACTATATATATGAGATGAAAATCTTATGTTAATCTCATGTATGTGGAATTGATCTATTAATTTGGATGTTTGCGATCTATTAATAACTAGAAAACAATCTTTTTACTACGCTATAGATTAAAGTTTCATTGACAGATTCCTCAATGAATAATCCTTTACATAAAAATAAGCCTGTTTTCATTACATCAATATGACATATATATTTCATCATGATAAGCTATATGCTTTCATTGACATCAAACAAATACAAAACAATCATTGTCGAAGAAGTAAGCTATATACAATTCATTGTTGTGTACAATTGTAAAAATAAAAATAACTAGAGAATTAATCATCATCTTCCTCTTCAACACGGAGTTTTTTATTTACTGGACCATGATTTTTAGCAGTTGAATCTTTGATAAATTCAGTTGCTTCTTGCTTTGCTAATTCTATTTCACTATCATCCGATGAATCAGATGATGATTCATCAAAACACCGAGAATTTTTTGATGGTTTCCATTCAGTATCATCATCAGATGCAATAATTGCTAGAATAGATAAATAAAAATGAAGCAAGAAAAAAAGTCAAATATTTATTATAAAATATGTACTTTCTTCATCCGTAGTACAGTCAGAATCATCACGATCTTCATCATCGATAAAACTATCATTATAATCATATTCATTTGGTAAACCATCATCATCATCTTCACTTTCTGAAAAGTATATGGTTTTTTTTAATATGTATATGTTCGTAAAAATGTTACCTTTGCGTTTTGTTGTGCGTCGTTTAGTTTTAATTTCAATACAGCGTTTTTTAGGATGATGATATTCATTTAAATGATCAGGATTTTTTCTATAACATTCATTACCATATGGACATTCAGGTTTTGTTTTAGTCGTATTATTATCTACAGTATCCCAATCTGGATCACCAGGATGAATAGCTTGTTGTCGATGAACTAGATTTTTTCTGTAACAAGATTCTCCATATGGACATCGTTCTCGTTTAATAGGATTGATAGCTGTTGATGATGATGTTGGACTATTTGTAGTTAGATCGATATTATTAGATGTACTAGCTTGTTCTATAATATCAAACAAATTGATATCATTGGATTAGAAAGACAAATAAAAATTTCTCAACTTGTTGAAGTAACAACAGGATTAGGTTCATCATCGTCATCCTCATAAACAATTTCTTTGGTCTTTTTTCTCTCAGAGTCTAATTAATAGATAATATTGATAAAAATTCCAACAATAGAAAATGATAAATATTTACAAGTTTGCTCTTTAACCGATGGAATAGCAACTGATGTTTCTTTGTTTTGTTCTTTATCACGTGATGATAATGATGATGTTGATATTGAACTATTAGACATCCAAGTTGGTAATGCACGACTTTTATCCGAAATGGAACTAGTTTTGACTTCAGCTTTCTCTTCATCATGGTTTTCAATTGTTAAGACTTCACTGTCTTTTATTGGAGATTTTGGCACTGTTGATGAATTTATTATTTGATTTGAATCAGAAAGCTTTTCTAATTGTTCATCGTTTGATTTAATTGAAACTCGATAAAAATATTCATTTGGTAAAAGACCAAATTGATCATCGTGGTGCAATTGATATTCTTTATTTTTCGTTAGACTGACTATTTGATTAGTTTTTGTTTTATAAAATGTTGGATTATGATGTATTGGCTTTATCCATAATGTTCCGTCGGATTTAATAAATAATTGAGCATGATTACGAGATATTTTATTATCTAAACAACCAATATTGGGTATACGACCAATTGTTGTTATGCTAGTATTATCAAGAATAATATGATTGCCTTTATTTAATGGAATTAATTCTATTATGGACATTTCTTTTTAATTGAAAAGACTTTTTCATATAGCATATTTATTTTAATATTTTTACGTATATACAGTCGAAAAGATATTTCAAACTCATAATGTAATAACAATATTGATTCGTCAAAAAAGTAAAGAATGGAAAAAAAGATTTTTTTGACAAATTTAAATCTTGTGGAAAATTGATTTGTTATTGATTAAACATGCAATTGGAATCTATTTTGATTGAATATAATAAATAGATCATTTTGTTTACGAAACCCTATTTCTCCGGTAAGAACTGCCATCTATTCTGTGTCTTTGTTACATATTATAGACTATCATTTATAAGAAAAATTTCAACTAACAAAATATTCACTAGCAATAAAAAAACATCTTTCTAACACAAACGATGTTTCAAACACCAAAGCAAAAAAAAAATTTTGTACCCTACTACTTCTTCATCAACACAAACGAATAATCCTACAGTCATTATTACAAAATATTTAACATGTCTGATGAAATATTTCTTGAAGATCTGCATCAGATAGAATTTTCGTCTAATTGTGAAGGTTTCTAGAAAATTTGTTGAAATATTTATGAGAAAAAAAAATCCCAATCTTTGATTCGATTCGTAAATATAATTTAATTTATTATTATGAATCTTTTTAGATGAATTAACGCCATACGTGATTCATGATACGCCTTTGTTTTCTTTTGCTTAATCAATTAAACACCTTCTAAAAACACAATTTTCGTATTATTTTTAACACATCACAATGACATTTTGTTTACTATTGAAAATTAATGCTTGATATAGTACTGTTAAAGTTCAAATGTAATACAAACATAATAAAAAAAAATCAATATATTTTTAAATATACATGATAGATTTCTCAAACATCGGAACATATTATTATTCAAATTAAAAATAAATACGATCAATTTTACATGAATTAATCACGGTCAGTGACTATTTCTTTTCAACTATTCTCAAAAGTAGAACAAAAGAATAAATTGTATATGCATACGTATGCTAGAAAGAATAATGCATTCAGTCTTTAACCAGCACCATCATAATGCATGTCTCATATTTGTATTTCTTTCTTTTTGTTATTTTTTTTTTCGAGCTCTATTACGTGTATAATATGTACGCACGTCAATGTAAAGATAAGAGAACGAAAACACAAAAAAAAAAATGTTAACCTTTAGCAAATAGTTAATCACGCATAATCAATCACGCTTAGTGTTGTTCGTTGACGAACTCAATATTCTTTTTCTTTTTATTGTTATACTTAATGAACGTCATAAAAATTTTTATATCTACTAATAAGATAATTATATCAAATAACTATTTTCAGACTTATTATTGTTTTGAAGTGAATTATTCTTAATCATGACGACATAGATGAAATTAAACGAATTGTTTTCCATTAAAAATGATTCATGACGACGACAAAACATCTCATAAAAGGTTTGTTTACATCGCATACAAGTGTACGGGTATTTTTCTCTCGATAATTTACGTATGAAAGAAATACCACAGAACCAAGAAACGAGGGCGTAAAATATATATAATTCTGTTTTCTTCCAATGCTAATTTTTATTTAGCCGCATTATTTTTGTATTTTTATTTTTTATCCACAAGTACTTCGTAGATTGTATGAGATTATTAGATCAATTTAGTTGATGAGTTGAATATCAAGTTACAAATCATAGTTTTCCTTTTATATTTTGTTTCTTTTAGATAAATTATAGATGAATGTTGAAATAAATTCGGATAATTATTTAGATGATGATGTTGAATTAACATCTGAAACAGATCAAGGTGGTATTGTCATACCTAAGCAAACTTGTGAACATGTTCAATATGTAGAATTACTTGAAAAATTAAATCATATTAATAAAATACAATGTATCGATTGTGAAAGTACGAATGAAAATTGGTTATGTTTATCATGTGAAGAAATTCATTGTAGTCGTTATATAAACAATCATGGAGAAGAACATTGGTTATTTACATTACTTACAGATGGACATTATAATATTGGTCATTGTTTAACAATAAGTCTTCAAGATTTATCTGTTTGGTGTTATCCATGTAAATCCTATGTAAAAAATATTCGTCTTAATCCATTAATAAAACATCTTGAATCAATTAAATTTGGTTTATTATCAACGAATGAAAATGAGAATCAACTTCATTCAAATACAATTAATAAATTAGTCATAAAAGAAAACATTCAAAATCCATCAACAATAATTGCTATACAAGATCCTTTATTGTCAGATGAACTTGAAAAAACTGATCTTTTATCTTATTGTTATACAATTAAAATTCGTTCAGCATCTATTGATGAACTTGTATGCTTACATTCAAGCGATTATGTTAATATGATTGTATCAGCTGAAAAAAATCATAAAAATACTTCCAATAATCAATTTCACATAGAATATAATGAAACAGCTTTTTCTAATGCACGCTTAAGTGCTGGAATAACAATTGATGTTATACAAAATGTTCTTGATAAACATATAAATGGTTTTATACTTACAACATCACCTGGTCATCGTGCATTACGTGATCATGGCAATGGAACATCTATATATAATAATATAGCATTAGGAATAAATTCTATTCTTATGAAAAAAATAAAACCTAATAAACGAAAAAATTCATTAACATTAATTGATTCAAGAATTCGTTCAGATATACAAGATGCAACACCTATTGAAAATGCTATTTGTCATATGATACATGTATTAACTCCAGCATCAATAATTGATTATCCAATGAATTCTAACATGTCAACAGTTACAGATAATAATAATAATAATAAAATTCAAATTGAACATGTACTTATTATTGATCTAACATGTGAACATGGTGGTGGAATTCAATCAATTTATTATGAATCTGATCAGGTTTTTTATATATCAATACATAATGAAAATCATGAACATAAATCAAGTTATCATGAATGTGGAAAAAATGATGGATTAGGTTATACTATGAATATTCCTTTAGCATCAATAGATACAATTAATGATACAGATTATATTTGTATTATCAATGAACTTGTTTTACCTATTACAAAAATATTTAAACCAGAATTAATTATTGTTTGTGTTGATTTTCATATTCAACAATTAACAGAACTATGTTATGCTTGGATTATTGAACAATTAAGTATGATTAGCAGTAGTAACCTTGTTGTTGCTCTTGATGGTAATTTATCTTGTATATCTTCAAGAACATCTTATATTCAAACTATACTTTCTGTTCTTATTGGCAAATTATCATTAATTAATAATGACAAATGGAAAAATAATACTGATGTAAATAGTGATGTTCGTAAAAAAATTGATCTTGTCAAACAAGAACATAAAAAATATTGGTCTTGTTTTGAATAGTATTAATTGGTTATGAAATGTATTTGTTTTCTGTTTCATTTTTCAATAAATTTTCTTCACTAAAAAAAAGATTCAGGTGTATAATCTGTGAATATTCATATGACGCATAATCGACATTTTTGTTTTCTTTTTTGGTAATGTTTTCAAAAACAAGAGGAATTTCAAAATATAGTCAGTCTATTTATTTTATATACACAATGTATTTCGGAACATTTCGATATTAATTTAAACAAAAGAATTACAACGTGTATCAGAGAATATTTACATAATATCTGTAACTAATCTAAAAAGCGAAAGTCTTAGCACAAAAGTATTGATCATTAAACGACAACTGGTTAAAGCCAAAAGCAGCTAGAATCAAAATTTTTCACTGTTTTCGACTATGTATTCATATTGTCTTTCTAAGATAAGATGGAACAGCTAACAGTACATTTTGTGAAAAAGTTCAATACTTTGACTGTACACTGCAAAGTAGCAGTTTCAGCTTAGTCCTTAGTGTGTGTCTTGGAACAGCTTTCATTCAACATTACTGTAAAGTACTGAGTTCTGTACAAAATGAAATATTACAGTAAGTGAAATTTCATCAATGCGTTTCTACTAAAGAGCTAATTTCTATACAAATCGGCATCGGTGAAAAATACAAACGCTTAAAAATCTATTCCACAAAAGTAAATAGTACAGTTTGAAGAGTGAAGTTCTCTGTGCATCTGCACCATCACTATTTTGGCCGTTTCAAAACGATATAATGATAGTTGTTCAACAGTTCTCTATGAAGTCAAATTTTTTTTTTCCCGTGAATTATCGGTAACTTACTAATATCAAAAAAGAATGAAATAGGGTCTTTGAAGTTTCTATAATTTAAATCGATCCCGATCGAATGGCAGATGAGATTTCAAGTTCGATGCATTGCTTTATTGTCCAATCTTAATACAGAAGAAAATTTTGAACACATATTTGGAAAGAGCAAATAATTCTGTTTCCAACTCTAACCAGCTGTTTTGAAGTGTCCATAAAAAAAAGATGAGCGAATATTTTGTGCTAAAACATTCGCGCCATAACTTATATGATGCTTACAGAGAAAATCAAATAATATATGTAAAACAACAAAAATAATAAATAATTTATTGATTCAAGAAAAAAACAAATCTCCTACAAAACACTTAAATCACTCAACTAAAAAACATTTCATACGAGTACTCTCCTAGAAAATGAAAAAAAAACGATATCTAGAGATGATCTTCAATCGATACAGAGAATTTCAATTAATTGATCATGTATATCAAGCATTTTGTTAAATCTTAGGAATAATCAATTTATATAAGTAACATTTTTGTTACTTGCATGACTTAATTAAAAAAAATTGATGACATGTTTTTCAAAATTTTATCTTCTAATATTTAGATTAATAATAATTTTGAAAAGAAATTTTCAATTAATATATATATATCTATCCTCTAAAATAATGCGAAAAGAACTTGAACCACGTGTATGTTATTGTTGCTAGTCTATCTGATTTGTATACAAATGCCAGGCAAACAAAATGACACGTTAAACTCGATAGCTTTCTATTATTTTTTTCTTTTTCTTCGTCTTTATTTTCGACATTCGATGTTATATAGAGAGAAGATATATTTATTATAAACCGTAGCGTACAGATTAGTTCAGTATATAGAAGCAGTTAAAACATGTTGTCGACATCAATTGATCTTCATAATAATAGTAATACACGATCATTAAGAATTGTTTCAACAAATCGACTCTTTACTAAAGTTAGAACCGAACAATCAACTGAATCAAGTATTTTATTTATTATTAAAGTTTTTAATTTTTTTAAGCACATATATTTTTAGTATTACCATCGATAATTGATTCAACAAATTTATTTTCTGATCATCATCTTGATGTATTTTCAAAGGATGAATCAATGCTTGATGAAACAACAATGATACCAACATCACCATCATCACCATCAACATCATTTGTTGATTTTCATCATAATTTATCAACATCAACATCAACACCATCAACACCAACATCATTTTCACCATTACAACATGATCATAGTTATGGTTTATCAACAAATTCATCATCATTACTTCCATCACCAACATCATCTGATATATTAACATCACCAGATATAACAATTAATAATACAACAACAATAAATTCATCGAATCGTTTAACATGGCCACAAATTAATTGTCGAGCATTAAAACCAGACGATTATCATATGTTACTTGAATTATTATCATCAAATACAAGTAATGATACACCACCAATTTGTTTTGGTTCAGCACTTATTGATCCATCAACACTAACACCATATTCTGATGCAACACGTACACAACCAAAAAAACGGGTACGCCCTGGTCATGTTAAACGTCCAATGAATGCATTTATGGTTTTTTCACAATTTGAACGTCGAAAAATTGTTCAACTTGCACCACATTTACCTAATGCTGATATAAGCAAGTAAGATTTTGATAATTTAGTTGAAATTTTTCTTATTTTTATTTATTTATTTATTTATTTTAGATGTTGTGGTGCTAAATGGAAACGAATGTCGTTACGTGAACGACAACCATATATGGAAGAATCAGAACGATTAAAACAACTTCATGCACGACAATATCCAACTTATAAAGTAATCTATTGTTAATATTGAAATTTTATATGCAAAAAAAACACAAACTCATCTAACGTTGTCAGTAGTTTTCGAAAAGCTTTCGAAATCAAACATCAGTTCGTACAAACTTAAATGCTTTACAACAATACATAATATCTTATCATCAAAACAAAGAAAGAGTTAACATTTTCTTAAATCTTTCAATACTGTGGATGAAATGGACTAAAATCAATGGCATGATCATCCTAAACAACACTAGAAAAACTGATTTTCAAATTTTGACTTACGGCTTTGCATAGAGATAGGCCTTAATGAGAGTAATCTATTGTAAATGTTTAACATCTTTTAGTTTACATCTATCCTGAAATAAGAAAATCAAAGCTACCGATTTAAAAAACGGAATAAGTTAAAAGTGCAAACTCTTTTCACATCATGCATAACTTATCTGCATCTACATCATGCAACATATTCCTTACTCTAAAATGATTTATTGGCTGAAGGGCTTTCTTTGAAAGTTCTAATATAAATGTCTGATATAGATGAAATAAGACGAATATTGTTAATAACTTCTGTTTAATGTTTAGTATCAACCAAGAAAGAGAAGTAAAGCCAGTCAATCATTAAATGTACCAGCTCGACCGCCAGCAGCTACTGCTTCATCATCATCTTCACCGCCTTCATCAACAACTTTAACTACAGTTCCTTTACAATCTTCTATTGTTATGAAAGATCAACCAGAAACACCTCCACCATATTTACCGCAATCATCATCAGGATCAAATCCAAATGATCCAATATCACGTTTAGTTGCAACATTATTTGATCAAAAATTAGCTATGTTCGCTGGTAATTTTCAACAATTCAATATTGATCATCTACAATATCATTTTACACCACCAAATACACAAATTTATCCAACATCAACATCAATGCATTTTGATCCTGTAATATTTCTTGCTAAACAGCAAGAACATCGACTTGTTTAAATTTTGTCTAAGCATTTATAACGTAGGTTTATACATTTACACATATATATATAAGAGTAAAACTAGACGAAACAATTCAGGAAAGCGAAAATTTTACTTTGATTTTTTTTTTCACGTTTTATTTTATTTTCTTGTGTTTTGTATGATATGTAATTTCTCTTTTCTTTTTTCTGGTTCTTGCTCTACAGTTCTGTTTTTGTTTGTTCTTGCGCTATTTCGTAGTTGGAACTTGCATCTTCATCCATATGAAAAAAAAGAGAGATCTTGCTCATCATTTTTTATTTTATGAATATAATAGAACGAAAAAAAAAAATATTATTATTAATTTTGCATATTCAAGAATATCAAGAGGAATTGGAACGAAAAAACATATTGTTTTAAACTGTGGAATTCTGATGATTGAAAATCTAAATCATTTTCTATCGAAACAACGAATCAACATACATAAACGGATGCTTTTATTGTATTTAAGCACATTAAAAATAGTACTATTTCTAATTAGGGATAACTTTTTCGAAAAATTTTAAAATGAGAAGCTTTTCGACTATCTAGAAATGTTCCGAGCGGAGAGAGAAGGAATACATGTGTGATTACTTCTTGCCAAATCAATCAACCTATCAAAAACTTTCTGATTAGCGTCCTGATCCATTGCTCTTCCTCCAATCTTGACAGCTTCAAAACATCCTGACGACTATCACTATTCAAAAAAATCCGATCAATAGTTAGTAATAATAAAATGATGTTATGACCAGTCTTTGATCCAATGCATGGATTGAGGAAATGATGTCCCTCCAAAGATCTGATTGGCCCCTCCGAAAAGGAAAACCTGAATAAAACACTGATTATAATGATAATACTTTGGTTTTCTTCTCGGATTTGATGTCTGTGATTAACGTAGATATGCAAAATTTTGATTTTAGGACAGGCTCAATATTCTTTATAAGATCGTCATGTGAAAGTTAAAAATAAGAGAAGACAAATTTTAGAATGCCACTTAAATGAAATACAGTTAATGTCTCTTTTATCGAATTGACGTTTTCTATCGCAATGAGTAACAATAATGTAGATCAGAAAAAATTTGCAACTGGTGTAAAAAGAAACATGCGAACGTTTATGTTACTCGACTGCAAGTCATCGTCAAAGTGTGATCTAATATTTAGTTCTACCAAACTCAATATTTCCTCAAAAACATTTTTTAAGTCTATTTGAGCCTACACTACCCTACGAAGCGTGAATCTAAGAGTAACTTTAGTCTATTCAGAACTCGTGGCTCCTCCGCCTAAGATAATGAACAAATGAAAAACACAATTTCATTATCCGTGTTAAACTCGATTGAGTATTGTTATTTACATCTATGTAAACATATGACATAAAAACCGACGATTGTTATCTATAACACGCTTCCTTAAATGATTTCATAATTATTTTTATTTTTTAATGAATAATTATATATATATATATAATGAGTTTGCAAGTAGAAAAATGTACATATCTAATAGATTATTCATCAACTGTAAAATATTCGAATATTCGCATAGCAAATAGTTTAAATAGGTGTGAGTATGTATAACAATTTTGTGTGAACAACCAATTTTCTCTATCAAATCACATTGAAATAAAACACTTGTTTGTTTCTTTTCTTTTTTTTTTTTACCATTTTATTTTTAATACTTTTACTTTCTAAGCCGTGGTATTGTTGGCTTTTTCTTTCATTGTTATATAAATTCTCTTATATTCGTCGTCCATACTGATATATTCAAAGAAGACTAAAACTATCAAGAAAAGAAAAAAAAAATAAACGAAAAGAATAACAACATAACACGCTCTGTAAAACACCTTCTCTTTTCTTCTTTGACTAAATTCACATCAGTCCTCTTCTTCAATCCTTGTTGTCCACTTTCATTTCCATCTTTTGACCGCACACATATAACACATCTCGACTAACTTTAATCTCACGTTCTTTCTTCTCGAATCACAATAAACAAAAACAATGTTTACATCAACTAACCAAACTATATTTAATCCGACAAAAAAATTAAATATTAATGCTTCGACACCATCTAGTTCTCAAGTAGCAACATGTAAATTATTTGTTGGTAATTTAGCAACACATACAACAGGTGCACATCTACAAGCTATATTTCATTCATATGGACAAGTTATTGAATGTGTTAAAGTACGTGAACGTTATGGTTTCGTAAGATTTGCTACTGCTGAAGAAGCTCAACGTGCTCTTGTTGCTTGTAATGGTATACAATTAAATGGCTATCCAATGATTGTTGAATATGCACAAAATGAAATTCTTATTAGTCCATTATCACCACGAACAACAAATAATACTAGTTCATCAGCACCATTTCGACCTCATCCATATCATGCTGGAAGATCAACAATGTCATATCAAGTAAGGATAATTATTCTTTTATTATTATCTATTAATATTTCATTAAAAGACTGATACAAAATTAACAACACCCATAGCAATAAATACAAATTCTCGTCATTCAACAAATAATAATTCAAATCGAGATGATATTCCATTATTATCAGCTTCAACAACAGATACAAATTATAAATATGTATCATCAACACTTAATCCTGATGCATCATCATTTACAATATCATTTTCTCCATCAAATCAAAGTCAACAAACATGTATAAATAATAAAATTTCTAATATTGAAAATATTTGTTCAACAAGTGATTATCATTCACAATCAGGTGCATTATCATCTAGTAGTTCATCATCAATACGATCAACTGGTTCATTATCACCATCGATACTTTCAGCTATTTCACCATCTATTTTATTATCACTTAATTCATCTGATGATGAACAAACACGTAATCATCGTATAAACATAAATGAAAAACGTCAACCAACAAATACATCATTAAATCTTTTTATTGGTGATAAAATTCTTAGTTTATATGGTTCAACAACACATGTTGATACAAATAATAATCAATCAACAATGATGAATTTAAATATTCAAGAACAAAATTCAATATCATCACCATTTGATAGTCGGGAAATTGATCCACGTGATCCAATATTTATTTGGAATTTTGTATTTTATCCTGATGTATCAATAAGTCCGTTTGTTAAACGTGATGATATAAAAACATTACTTGAACGTAGAGTTTCACTTTATTCACGATAAAAAATTTTTATTCTTTTCTTTTTCGATAGTATTAACTGCTGGTCAGTGAGAAATAATTCATTTATTTCTCTTTCATTCGTTATTATGTTCGGTATATTTATTAAAATATGATTCTTTTCTTGTGTTTAATCTTGGTGTGTGTATGTGTGTGCTGGTCCAATGTGTCCTGCATTCCTGTCTTTTCTCAATACACTCAATGTTCATTTGTCTATGTTGAGTTTGCTCTATGTAATCCGCCGCCGTTCGCTTTATATCTTAAAAATTTCCTTAAATTATTCATTTATACAATTTCTTTATTTTTTTTTTCTGAATCAAAAAAAACTAATAATTTACTTTTCTTTTTTCTTCGATCTGCTTTTTTTGTTCGATGTCTTTCTTTTTTATATACAATTGACGATTAAGAACTTTGTACATGTATCTGGTGTGAGAATCTCGAAATAGAAAACTGTTCATTTCACGCCGTGACTTTTCTTTTGTTATTCTTTGTATTTAATGATAAAACGATGTATGCGATGATAATTATATTAAGAATATATACGGAATGTTCTTTTCAAAGTTAAAAAAGGTTTTCTTTTTAAATATAGAAATATGATCTATACAACTAACGATAAACAGAAATTGATGTGTGATGCAGAAATAATGGAACAAATGTTACTCCTGATTTCTCTTTATTACAAGCAGACTCAAAAGATACACACTTGATATGAAAGAAACACTCTCGTCCAACTAATCTGTAGAATAGATCTTCGAAAACGACAGTTATTTGTCTTGTAAAATAATGTCTTGCAAGAAGAACAATTTATAATCTATGCAATACATTTCTACTAGGAAGTGGTCATGCAATGAAACTTTCTAATCAAAAGTTATGCTCACTTAATAAATCCAGATAACTCCAATACTGATCAAGTTTAATCGAATTATTTTCTATTTTAAATAGGAGAATAGTAAGTTTTAATTTGTACAGACCAAGATAACCAACATTGTAGAAAGTGTACCACTCTTAGTTTCGGTTCAAAAACTAGACCTTTTTCTCGAAATCTATTCGAATTTCTATGATTATTATTGACTTCAGATTATGTAAATTTTTTACCGTAACTTTCTAAACATTTATTTTGATATATTCTTACAAAAAGAAGGAAAGGTAGTGTATTGTGATGTCAAAATAAGTTATTCAGTGGTCTACCATATTCGTTTCCACAATTATTAAAGTTTCTGAAGAACCACGAATGACTTGCTGTGAAGAATTACATCAATGAATACATCATTTTTAGATATTTTCTCTTCAAAGAAAGTCAATTTTCATCAGAATTATCGAAATTAAGATAAATGCATAGAAAGATAGCACGAGGTCTAATTTTTCATCAACAATGTGATTTTTCATTTGATAACTCGTTTTTTTTTGAGAAAATTTTTGATGGTTTCTGTCATCACCAGCCTGAAAAAATACGCTGCTTTCAGAAAAAGCAGGAAATCTTTTTAATGTTTTCTTTGTTTATATTTTTTTGCTCGAGAAAACATGTCATAATGTGGGACACGGTAGAATTCCTTTTGTGAGTTTTTCGAGAAATTGAACTCTTGTACTCTTAAAAACTAAGAATTTAAGAAAAAGAGCTCTGTTATGCCATGCATGTTGGTATACTCTTTCAACCAAAAAGAAAAGGATTAACTGTACACAATGAAGATTCATAGAGAATTATGAAATGTCGCATGGGTTATATTAGACCCTTGCTTCTTGAATATCTCCTAAAACCATCATGATATAAAACTGAGAATTTTCCATTGTCTCTTCACTATAGTACCAATATCTCCTGGATATTCAATGCGTTTTGAATATATCTGGTTCAAGATCGATTTTTGAGAGAGCGCCAAGTGGAAATAATAGTGTGGCAAATCAATACTATTTCTCAGCTGATTCAAATAATTAGATAAGATCCTTCGGTATTCCTGCTGTTAGCTTACAGTTATAGTTCAATTAATTTTCAAGATTGATTTGATGAATCGATATAAAAATTACAGATTCGTTGAGCGAATGTTTGTTCTTTCTTATCATGCCATTTTGTATATAACAAAATCAAGGCATATACGATCGAAAGAAGAAAAAAAATTCTTATCATCAGATAACAAAATAATTATTCCAACAAGTGTTTATTATAGAGAAATAGACATCAATAGAGAGGAAACTGGCACTTGCACCTATCATCAATACACTGTACTGGTTGGTAATAATATCTGATTTACACCATAAATTCCAAACTAACGATTGATTATAGAGAAAGAGATTGATCATTGAGCCAACACAATGATATTCCTAAGACAATATGTATTCAACCAAGATCGAATCAAATAAAAGGAGATAATGAACAAAGTAACGACATTTGATTCATTACATCAATATTCTGTTATGCTGTTGCTAGTGTACTGCCTGATTGATATTATTGATCACGATTGTGGTCACAATCACGATTTTTTTAGATGACAATCACGACTACGATCGTGAATATTGAAAAGGAATTGAAGACAAAAGACAACTTTTAATCGTTTGCTCGAGACATAGGATCACTCAAGTAATATGTAATCAATTTTCGAGGAGACATAGTTAGTCAAAGATTACGCCAATGATACCACTACATGAAAAAAATCTGAACAGTGATTGTTTTAGGTTAAGGGAGCCAAAAAGTTGATTACCTAAAACTTGAGTAGTTCTCATCTGTCCAATATATTTCATTGGGTACATTCAATACTAATCGAGATCAGTAATAATAGTCGACTATTTAGTAATGTGAAACTTGAATTCAATTGAAATTTCAAGTTTCAAGTTGTCAAATTTTCAAAAATTCGAATTCAAGTGTAACATGTTTGGGTCTAAACATTACACACTTCGATTACTGTATTCACAGAGACGTGAATGGGTTGCAGGTTTTCGGAGAGGACGCTTTGCGCTCCCACGCCGCAATACTGATATAGGAGGTCAATTAGATTAGAAAAAGTGCTTACTCCCCTCAATGAATATTCGTATGATTATTGAAGAGTTGAATTTAACTTTCAGGACTAACATTTATCTGAAATCTTGAAACTTGAAAATAGAAAATTTCAAAACTTGAATACTTAGGGTATACCAAAAGTAGTGGCGTCCTTATCTTATTTTTCTTACTAGAAAGCTGGAATAGATTTTCTTTTTTTTATGTAGTGATAGAGAAAACGACGCTCTATTTTGCTGTGCTATTTGATTACTCTTCAACTAATATCATAATCATAAAATTTCGATAAGAACTGTTGTTGTGTACAACTTCACCAATATGTGAGCCAGATTATGTGGCCACACTTTGCATTTTTTGCATTCCAGTTTTCAATCACTTAATAGGTTGTATCAAAAAAAAAAGTATACCACTAGATGCAGCGTGAAAAGCTCTACAATTTCTAAAGAACAGCTTATTTTATATGTCAGATAAGAAACAAGGAATTTCTCTTCGTCAAGAAAAAACTGATTTTTTTTTTCGGAATAGTCGGAGAGAATTTTACTTTTTTTGGAAACAAGATGTACGCAATTAAAATAAGCGATCTTATACAAATTGTAGGGCTTTTCATGCTGCATCTTTTGATGTATTTTGTTTTTCTTAGATAAAAGATATCAAGTGATAAAAAGATGAAATAAGAAAAAATGAATTCATCGTGCACCAAAAAAAATGTCGTTTTTGCAAGGTCAAAAATTGGTCGCGCAAAATTTTGCTCATTATGAGAACAAAAAGTGCAACTATAAAATAAGTGGTCTTACGTAAATTGTAGAGCTTTTCATGCTGCATCTAGTAGTATATTTTATTTTTTTGATACAACCTATTAAGTGATTGAAAACTGGAATACAAAGGGTGGCCATTTTATTGGCCTCACATATTATTGAAGTTGTACATAAAAACAGCTCTTATCGAAATTCAATTATTATAATATTAGTTGAAGAATGATCAAATAGCACAGAAAAATAGAGTGTCGTTTTCTCTATCACTACATAAAAAAAAGAAAATCTATTCCAGCTTTCTAGTAAAGAAATAAGATAATGACACCACTACTTTTGGTATGCCCTAAGTACTTAAAAATTTTCAGTTTCAATTTAATTCAAGTTTCAAGTTTAACATGTACGTTTTATTGAAGGTAGCATGTAAATTGTTAGTTTTTTCTAATTTAATTATGAACATTATACTTTTTAATAAATATTTTAAATTTTGAAAGTATATTTTATAGTCTTGATCACAACATTTTAATTTCGATCAGGATTACGGAGTACACTAACTGTTACTTTTTAATGGAAAGTTACACATTGATCATTTTCAAAGCATTGTTCAAATTCTCCAGACTCATCCTGCACATTAACCATTTATGTGCGTCTATGATAAAATAAAGTTTCAGTATATAAATCTGTCAATTACTAGTTAGATCTGTTTCATTTTCTGGATATCGACATTTGGTCCTGTTATTCGACATTGTGAGAAAGGTGTGGATTCGTTTTGAGAGTGCTTTTCTTTTCTATTGTGTCATTTCGTCTATAAATGTGTGACGAAAATAAATTACGTACAAACCGAAAGAAAGAAAAAGTTTTCTATTAGCATCCTTCTATTGAAGAGAAATTGCAGCCGATATTTCTAATATTACTTGTTCGTCATTCGTTAAACTTGTAGCTTTGGTTTGAATACTCATATAGTAAATAAATGTTCTGTGTAAAAAAAAGCAGATTTTTTTTGTCCTCTTGTTTTATTACTCCTTGTTTCTTATCTCAAAATATATAAAACTAATCTTGTTGTTTGTTTGTCCTTATTGTGGACTTTGAAAATCATCTAAAATATGAATGAGATTCCGGTTATTGATATATCTCAATTATTAATATCATCGTCATCAAATGAAGATATTAAACTTGCTGTATCACGTGCAATTCGATCTGCTTGTGAAACAGTTGGTTTTTTTCAAATTGTTGGTCATAATATTAAACCTGAACTTTTTGATTCATTAGTGGTAGAAGCTCGCCGTTTTTTTAATCAAACGCCTGAAGAAAAACATCAATATACTGTACATAAATGGAATCCAGCAAATAAGAATACATATCGTGGATATTTCCCATCATCAATTCATGGAAAAGAAGGATTAGATTTATCATCACCATATCTTAATCCTGAACATGAACTTGTAAAATCAGGCAATTCATTACATGAACTCAATTTATGGTCAATGAAAGGAATCTTCACTGAATATTGGGATGAAATGTGTAAGTTAAAATAAAACAGAATAAACTATTAAAAATTTATTTTTCATCTATTAATTAAAGGGCGTATTGGACTTGAATTAATGCGTGCAGTTGCTCGTGCATTTAACTTAGATGCTTCATATTTTGATAATTTACTTGATGATCAATGTATAGGTGGTGCTGGTAATATTTCAACCTTAAGACTGAATTACTATCCTAAACAAGACAATCCAATTGCTGTACAAGTCAGTGCATATGATAATCAACCTTTATCTTGTGAAGAACATTGTGATGGTGCTCTTTTTACAATTCTCTATCAATATGAAATTGGAGGTTTACAAGTCGAAATGCGAGATGGAACATGGACTGATGTACCTGTTATACCTTATGGTCTTGTTGTCAATACAGGTCGATGTTTAGAACGATGGACAAATGGACATTTGAAAGCAGTGAATCATCGAGTTAAATTATTAAAAGAAGGACGTATTTCGATACCATTCTTTTTAGAAGCATGTTATACAACACCAATTGTTATGCTTCCAACCATAGATGAAAAACCGAAATATGAACCGACTTCTTATGGACAATATATTATAGAAAGTAATAAACAATTCAAAGAATATCAACGAGATAATGATAAGCCGATTTGATAGACATTATTTATTAAGAAATTAGAAGTGTGGAGTTTTCAAATAGACAGAATATAAATGATTGATAGATTTATAGTTTTCTTTTTCTTTTTCTTTTTAATTCAATTGAATAAATATATCAAATAAAATCATTTCATCTTCTATAATTTAGTCATAGAATAAAATTTGATCAAAAGAAAGATAATTTTTTTATTTTAGTTTGCAAATTATTTTTATTTTGCTCTAAACATAAAAATTGATATATATGAAATACAATACAACAATAAAATATAAATATTTAAGATTAAAATCTAAAATATATATTCAGTTAAACTTGAAGTTATGTACTCTAGTTAGTTTCATATATCTTTAAAATACATTAAGAGTCATGCATTTTGATTGTTGCCTTCTCTTTTTTTTTTTCGTTAATCACTCTAACGTACATATTCAACATTTTATATGTATGATTGATAGGTCGATTTTTAACTTTTTCACCTGTCATACCATTATAATGACATATAACAAATGGTCATTTTATGTAATATTCGATGTTTCATATCACACGCCATTATCATTATTTATATATATATATATTAATAGGTGTTATCTGTTTATTTTTTATTTTTTATTTTTATTATTAATTTTTCTTTTATTAGACAATGACTTTTATTGTTAAATCTTTATGAATCTTATATGTTTTTGAAATCATTTTAACGAATTTACGCATAGATGCATTCATTTCATCATGATTATCTACTCATCAACATCATGATGATTATCATGATCATCATCATCAATGTAGAGAAAAAAAGAAAAGACTTGCCTTTTGGCTGGTTTGATTGAATAGAGCTTGCGTTGACTTGACATGTAAGCGAGCAAGACGAGACATATATAGAAGAGAAGAAAAAAAAAACGAGAGAACGAGAAATCGCAGCGCGATCTGTCAACATCAATCAAACCTCGTTGTCATATACTTGAGCTTGTATAAAGCAGGCGGGCGAAACGAAGCTCAAGTTTGCTAGTCAGCCGATCATTTATAACCAGAGAGGAGGGGAAATGGGCTCTACACAACTTGACATTTATCGTTCTGTCTCATATACACAAAAATTCAACTTGTTGTGATCCATCTTATTCTTTTTTTTTCATTCTTTTATGCTTGACATTACTGTTCCAATGGTGTCAACTGAGCAATAGAGCGATGGCACTTTAATGTTTGGAGGCATGTTGAGTCTGATTTATTGCCTCTGAATCGTAATGATGGCTCATAAATCAAAAAAACTTCTCGTCTCTTTCGTCGTCCAGTTTGATTTGTGCTTTTCATTCTTTTTCTCACTTGGAAAAGTCATCTTTCTTGTTGTCATCGCGCGTTGGTGTTCGATTTGAAAATTTGCGCCGACATCTCACTCTCCATCATTCATCATATATATATATATTTAGATATATATATATGCCTATGTGCACCAGTCACATCTAATTGCTCATTCATTCTACTTATATTGACGGGAGCTACAGAACGCATCTTTGTGTTCGATAGATGATGAAGTACTCTTGTCATTCATACACAAATGATCTGTATGCGTGATGAAAGAGGGAGAGAAAAGTCACCAAAAGATGTGATGATACGCTTCATAGGAGTGTTGTCTCTTTTTTCCTTTTTTTTTTCTTATTCTTCTCTTTAATCGATCATCAAGTATGTATAGTATTTAGACATACAGTACAAGAGAGGGAGAGAGAAAAAGAGTTGGTGACAATTGATTCAACAAGAATATATACAATGTCATCGAACGATCAATCTTCGAATGGTATATATTATATAAATTCATATTCAACCATCTGATTATTGACGTTTATTTTCTCCAACTCGTTTTCTTCTTTTTCTAATGATGTCGATGACGGAAGTTGCACACACACATTTATATATATATATATACACGAACGTGATAATGCCAATGAAAAGTCGTTGTGCGCATCTAACTATTTAGTTCTTTGGCAGTTAGAAAGATGTATGCTGATCATCGTTGTCATCCAACACGATTGCTGTTGTTGAGACGAGTGACGTGTGCATTGCGCGACAAATCGAGCTCGTTTATCTTCATCAACTTTTCTACCAGGACAGACAACTAACCTGTCAGTATCTCTGGTCGTTGTCGGATCTCACTCAAACATCATTCCATTACTTTCACAGGCTAATGATGTGCTGGCTGCCAGTCAGAATAGATGGAAGAAAGGAAACTACTAACGCACACGCACTACTCGTCATCGAATCAATCCATCAAACAGTCACCTCATTTTCTTCTTCTCCTTCCTCCTCCTCCTATACTTCATCCATTTCTTCTCCGTTTTATTCTTTTTTTTTTTATGCTTGTCTTACTTCGTTTGCACTAGCAACAGTCACGATGATAATGATAATGATGTATACTACTGATTAAAAACAGAACTATTGAGAACGAATACATATATTTTATAAAAATAGATTCAACTACCTATGAAAATTGAGATATACGTATACACATATGTATATATACGCATGTCACTTTTTTTCTGTTTTTTTCATCATTCATATGAAGCAACTAACAATTAGTTCGCTCTACGGTTACTAACCCATCACCATCACTATTTCCGATGATTGACACATGATTGACATTCCAAGTTAATCAAAATGACGTGCAAGTCGTCATTCTTTGTTTCTTTCTTTTTTTTTCTTCTCTTTCTCGACATTTTCCTTTATTATTATTATTATTATTGTTATTATTGTTCAGATTCATATGTTCAATAATATCTATATGTAAGAACATCTATCATTCTATTATTTTTTTGAAGATTGATCAGTATTTCAACTGCTTCTTTTCTTTTTTCCTCATATCATATAATATATCTAATATGTAGATTTGTCTATTCCTATCAATCAAAAAAAAATTTGAAGGCAAAACTCGGTAAGCATTTCTTTTGTTTTCTCTCTTTCGCTCTTTTTTCCGACATCGACTCATCCATCACTCACTCACACGAATGATTTCTCAACAGAGAAAGAAGGAGAGTGAGAAGGTCTTTTTTTTTGTTGCTCAACTTTATATTTTTTTTCTTTCTTCTTTTTCGTATTCATTCATTCATTCATTTGTTATATTACTCTAGAATGACGGATAATAGCAGTGCACCTATCGATTTACGCATTAAACGTAAACGTGATGATATTGATGAATATAAATCATCAACAAAAAAAAAATCTCGAAATAATCATGAATATGAAATTCCACTTGATTTATCTATTAAATCTCAACAACAAGAACAACATCATGTATTTAATCCAAAAGATTCACCATCAACACCATCATCATCATCAACAACAATTCCTTTTTATGATCCAACTAATCTTCTATTTAATTCATCAGCATTACTATATGATTTATTTTTAGCTAATTTAAATTCATATTATCAACAACAACAACAACAACAACAGCAGCAACAACAACTACAACAACGTGTGAATATTGAACCATCAGTACCTACATCAAAACCAACTAAACAACAAACAATAAATTCTTCTCGTAATATAAAAGATAATTCAACAAGTAAACAAGAATCCTATGCATGTTCATGTGGTGAAAAATACTCTAACGTTGCTCATCTTGTTAGTCATCTTAAAATAACAAATCATAATGCACAATTATCTTCTACACATGATGAAGTTGCTAAACTTGTTCGTGGTCAAGATATATGGCTTTCACGTGATACAAATCCAGCTAATCAAATACTAAAATGTCTTCGTTGTTCATTATCATTTGAAACTTTACCTGATTTGACAGCACATATGATGAAAACAAATCATTTTACACAACTTTTACCATCATCATCATCATCATCATCAACAACAACAACAACACCATCAACATCAGTATCCTATCATCATTCCAATTCAAAACAACAACAACAACAACAACAACATTCACCAACAAAACTTTTAAATCCTCCATCATTAATTCGTTCAACTTGTCTTATTTGTTCACAACAATTTGCACGTGAAGTTGATCTTGTTGATCATATTCAACATTATCATCAAATACGTTTTAATTGTACAACATGTGGAATGTATTTTGAAAATGAAAATCTTTATAAAGAACATATTTTAAAAGAAATGCATCATAGAAATGGAAAAGCTAATCGAAATCGTGATTATTTTCTTAATCAATGTAAAACATTACAAAAACGATCATTAATAACAAAGTAAGAATTTTATATAAATTTATTCATCAAACTTTGTTTTTTTTTCTTTTTGTGTTTAGAACTGAACGACCAAAATCTCGATCATCAATTGATAAAGATGTTGAACAAGTTACATTAGATTTAATTGATCGTATTGTTAAAAATGAAGAAGAATCTAAAGAACTGACTACTAAAACAACAACAGCAACAACAAATGCTAATGCACTTTCACTTTTACAAAATTTTGTTATTAAACAAACTCCAACAACAAATCGACAATCAGATTTAAATAATAATTATGATGATGAAAATACAAATTTATCACAAAATGAAAAATCTTTATCATCAAATCTTTATCATCATGAAAAAATTTCAAATAATTTAATATTAAAATCTAATGAAAGTCCATTAGTATCATTAGAAAAAATGCTTTCTTATCCAACAACAACAATTCAATCTTTATCATCAACTATAAATGATAATGGAACAATGTCAAATTTATCGAATAATTCAATAATGACAATAAAGAAAAAAAAATTTGATAAATATAGATTATTTGCTGAAAAAATGCTTCGATCTACGTTGTCATAATTATTACAGTTTTTCTTTTTTTGTTTTATTGATGTTTCCCTTTTTTTCTGCTCTTCTTTTTTCTTCATAAAAAACAAAGTCAATTTTTGTATCGATTCAATTGTAGTTTTGAACTGTTGGATGGCAGTCCTTTTTTAGATATATATATATATACATAAAGAACTATGAATGATTGATTGTTCATTTTGACATTGTTTTGCATAATATTTCTAGGACTCAAAAGCATTCTCTTAATATTACTAATATGTCATTTCAAATGAATTCATTTGTCTTCTGGAAAAATAGACAAGACATGATAATGATTATTTTTATTTTAACTTTAAAAAAAAAAGTGCCACAAATACATGAGTGTGAGAAGATTTATCAAGTTCTCGGTGATTAGAAAATGAGTATACAAATATCATTGTAATGTATAAAAAAAATTTACAAATATATATGTCATAGGCCAATCTGGGAGTTTCCTAGGCCATTCTAAAATCCAAGTTTAGCCCAATCTATTCTGGAATCTGAGTTTGACCTAAATATATTAAGTCAATGGAATAACATAGTGAAAAATAATATGAATGTCAATTCAATAGACAATAAATTTCTTTATTTCTCTATATTTCTACAACAAATAATGTTTTTATGACACTCTGTCGAGCAGAAAACCTTGATTGTTTTCACAAGCAGATTGGTTGTCATTACATCCTTCTTTACCTCAACAATAGATATTGTTGATAACACAGAGAACGTCGAATGTGATGCAGTGTTCATCGATGTATCATGTAAATCGGGCAATGTACATGAACAAGTTCATAAAGTACAGCAGACGAGCCAAGCAAACCGTTTGTTGTCTATCATTTATTGATAATTCCATGAGCAAATGTAAATTTATTGCTTTTATTTGAATATTTATCATTGGACAACTTTATACTAGTTTGGTCTCGGCGAATCCTAGATTGGCCTGCGACACATATATTAATAGTGCTCAGTCTGTTGTTGTTGATAAAGACCTTTTTATATCCTTAATTATAAATATGTTTATTTTCTTGCAAGTATTTAGTAATAGCAGATCAATCGGAAGGATTTAGACAAAATATTTCTTTATTTAAACAAATCTCTGAAAGATCTGAAAATAAAATGTTGACGGATATGAAGAAAGCGATCGTATCCTGTTGGAAATTGATTTCATGCTGTTATTCAGCGATTTTTCTTGTTACTTTAAAAAAAAATTCTATTTCGTTTAATCTAACTTTCTTTTTCTTGACTGCATCATGTTTTGAATTTTCTTTGGACTAGCACCTAGATAATGGACTTTCTTTACGACAATGATGTCCCTTATTGCGTACACTCTATTAGCGATTTTTGTAAAACATAAAGTTCGAGATTGTCTTCTACCTAGTCAGTTAAGAACTGAGAGTCTCGCAGCTATTAGCTAGAAACAATCAAGTTCACTTTGTAAGTCTGCACATCAAGGAATCGCGAACATGTCATTGTATCTCTTACCAAAACTTGCATTGTTGATAGATATCTTAATGAAAACTAATGATCAGAATATCCTTTTATAGAGTAATGTTTATCTTTTTTTTTATTGATACATTTAGAATAAATAATACCTTTATCATTCCAGCTTTATTTTCGGGCTTTGTAAAGATTTGTTCATAATGGCTGATCTATGAATCTCACAAAAATTTCGATTCTTACCAAATGTTTAATATTTTCTACTGCTCCTTTTAATCGATCGAAAAATGAAGTAACATTTTGATACACTCATCATACGCAAAAATAGATATTGATTATTTATGTGATGTTGTTACAAGATCATTGTCTGTCGGTATATTATATGTTTATAATGTTAAAAATATTTTAATTCATGGAAGTTCTTTCCTCCGATTTGAAGTTAACATAGAGATGAGTATATGTATATATTTTACAAAGAAATATTTTTCTTTGAAGGTAAGACTATCGCAGCTCTTGCGTAGTTTTTTTGCTCATAATCATCTAGTTTTCGAAACAGTCGTTATTTATAGAAAAAATATATCTTCTCAAAATCTATAAATAGAATATTTTTTCACTGTTTTCTTTCCTCACAAATATTTGATTCTACAATCGACATCAGAAAGTCACGTGCATATCTCTAAACTAACATCTGCCTATATGAATCCAAGTACATATGTATGAGAAATGATTGTATTTTAAATATGTTGTAATGTATTTATGAGACATAGATACACGAATTTAAAATAAAGAAACTTTCATGTTAGAGATGACAATCTATGTAAATTTTCTGAGAAATTATCAGAAATCACCTATACTTTACAAATCATTCATAATTGAAACTAATCGACGATTAACTCGTTTGATTTATATAAACATACAGTGAATGCTAATTATTTAGAATCTTTTATTGCATTTTTATCTGAATTTCAAGTTTCATTTGAATATCATGAACGCTTTTTCGAATTGAAAAATATCACTTATTTTGAAAAAAATTGTTGTCATAGTACCGAATATTGTAAAGAAACTTACGTCCATTCACATTCTTTCTTTATAAATAGTTTTATTAAAGTTATTTTACTGACACAACCGTTGTGGCCCTTTTTGCATCATTCTATAAGGCAGTTCGTTATTGACGTTGAATCGATTAGATTCTGGCCATGATAAAGAATGTACTTTGCAAATAAATACTTTCTTTGAAAATTGTCTTTTTCTCTGTATTTTTTTATTGAAGATACTATCACATCCATAATAATGCGAAGATGCAAAACGATTTAAATTTTGAAAGGATTGACGATAGGAATGTAATAAAATATCATGCTCTTTACATTCCAATAAAGATTTATCGTTGGAGATTAAGTGCACTGAATTATTATCCGTATGTTGCTGACGAGTAGAAGATGAATTTTCGGATGAATGTTGAATATTTTTTGATGAAATAGGTATTGTAGATTTTGAAAAAGTCGAGTCTAATAGTTTTATTTCATTCTATATAAAATGAAGAATTACAAGAACAAGTATTATGAAATAATTTTTACCGGAGTTTTATGACTCAATCTAACGACCGAATCAACATTTGAATTAAAATCTTTTGTCTTTTTTCGAACAGTTTTTTTTATTACTTTCATACGTTTCTCTCGAATTGGATTATAAACAAAACCTAAATCAGTTGAATATGTCCAATTAGGTATGATTAATTCATCATATTGAGATTCAATATCAAGTTTATCTTTAAGTTTAATATTTGAACGATCAAGTAGAGATTTTTCTACTTTATTTCTTTCGTTCAACTGTTCAAACGATGAAATAGATACGTTTGTATTTCGATTTCTTTTAAATCGATTCATTATTGCTATGAATTGTTTTTGTGGCAATGTAGAAAAACAATTCAAACCTTCACTAAGAAAAATAAAGAAAAGAAACAGAATATACTTGAACAGAAAAAACAAGTTTTTCACAATTCAATACCGCATATAGATCATCAGTATTTTTTCAATAATAAATTTCTCAGCATCATTAAATAAGTTTAAATAGGTAAGTGATGAATGTATTTTAGGTGAAGTTATTCGATTATAAATTAATGGTATTGTGTCCATTGGTATATTTGTCTAAATAAGAATTTGTAAACAATAAAACGTTTTATTGATATAATATCAGAGGTATCTTAAGGTCGCCCGTATTGGGGGAAGGGGTGGGTTGATTATTCTGGAGATTAATCGAAAGATTTTTACTAAAATTAATTGGATTTGGGATGGAGTTTGAGCGGTTCTCTTGAGAATAGTTGAGCAAAGCAAAACAAGAAAACGCTGAATAAGAACGATAGTTTTTCAGGGTATCTATAAAAAGGGCATGAACTTTGCCAAATAGGAAACTAATTCTGGGCACATCCATATCTTTTACCAGTGAGTAGATCGACTCGACTTGGGAACACACTCAAAAGATTAGGCTTTAATAAATTACCGTATTTACCAATATAGAGTGTCATATACGTTAGCATCAGCATCATATCTTCTTCTTCCATTGAAGAACAACACAACTTCGAACAACCATGTGAGACTCAATGTTTAGGAAAGAGATAAGAAGAAGCAGTGATATTTAGCACAAGTATCAGTACAGCAGACTAAAAACCAAAAGACAGAACGAAAAGAAGTATTCCAGCAACCAGAGAAGGAGAGGATATAATGCTGATGCAATCGTATATGACACTCTATATTGACAAATACCGTAATTTATAAAAGCCTAATCTTATGAGTATGTGTCTTAGTCGAACCGATCTACTCATACCTTTGCTAATGCGTCAGATGTCGACATATAATGATCATAGATATAATTTGCTTTGAGTTTTGCCATTTGAAATTCTTTATCTTCCCAGACAAAACCAAATGACAAAAACGTGTTGAACAGTTCTTGATAACTATGATAAGCAAGTAGCTATGATCTTCGTTCGATTTTCTTTCACTTTAAACATAGTATTTAAAACACATACCGTTTAATATCATCGAGAAAAAGAAGATCTTCTTGTATTTTATGTAGTTTATAACCATTTAAACTGTCGACTTCGAATTTCTCTATAGACATTTGATTAATTACATCAATAAAACGTAAACGAAGTAGAGGTATTTTGATAAATCGAAAAAATTGTACAATACGTTTTACCATACGACACCATTTTATTAACTAAAACTTGGCATTTTTTTTTTTGTTTTTTTCATTCACACAAATCTTTATCATACTTTATTAGTTTTATTTAAACTCCGTTCACTTAAATCATAACTGATTGTTGTTGATAATGATTGTTGTTCAATACTAATGGACGGCAATTGTTGCATTATAAAAAGATTTCATTTATATGAGCAAAAAAGCAAATAAAATAAAAATGAGCGCAATATTTAGAGATTTCATAATTGCTTGATGAATTCATTAAAATAAGAGATCGATCTCCAACAGATAGCCCATAATAATAAAGGAGTCAACATATTTAACTTCTTTTTGAATAGTTGAATATATATGAAAAATTTGGTATTAGGTTTATTTGATTAAGAATTTTTTTTTTTGCAACTTTTTTCTCTTTCGAACTGAAGATCAGGACTTACTCATTTGTCATACTGTGATCTCTTGTTTTATAAAATATCTATCGATTTATGGAACCATATACTACTCATTTCCAATACTAAAAGTCAAGTATTTAGCACCAAAGTATCGAGAATTCGGTACTCTATGCTGTCACGACTTTTTATAAATTTCTGGTGCAATCGTCCTGAAGAAAAAGCTTGAAACTAGCCCTATGGATGGTGATTTTGAAACATGATACACTTCAAAAAGTAAGTTAGCTCTATGAGAACTTTATTTTCATACCAACGAATGTAAAATTTAGTTCTGAGAGAAATCGAGTGATTGCGTATTTGTACAAAGAGAAGGCTTGAGATTGTTTTGAATTAAAAAATGTATGAACTATAGTTCACATTTAAAAGACATATTTCAGACGTTTCTATTATTAGTTATTCAAATTGGAATTCAAACAAAATTTACTTGAAGAAGAAATTAGAATATTTTGGAAAAACATGGTTTTTTTTTAGACATGAAGTTAGAACTACATCAAGTTATTTTATTTATATGATATTCGTAAACTTTCGCTCCATTTCATAGTCAATTTGCATACACACTCGAAAGTTTGACGTAATGGACACATCAATGACGTACGAACCAATAATCATAAACATATTTGAAAGTTATTTTTCTTTTCTCTTCAAGTTTCATTTATTTAATTGTTTTAGATCATCTATTGGAAGTATTGTTCATGAAGATCCTTAGAGTTCTTATAGGAAATAAAATGTCATTTTTGAACTTTTTTGAAGCTAGTATACAAGATAAGGAACAAAAAACCATAATGTTTTACTTCAGTTCTAAAAAAAAATTTCAAAGGCTAAAAAAGAGATCGACGTATAAATTTGAAGTTGTAAAATATCAATCAAAGAAAAGCAAACGGCTTAATATACTTATTCTTTTGCATTTTTCTCAACGAACTGCATTGTGGAATTGATTGATACATCCATTATTGAATTCGAAGTTATTTTATTTCTCAAACAAATGATATGCAAACTAACGACAAACAACGATAAAGTTGAAATCACTTAAAATGATCATGAGCACATGGTTTGTTCCTTAATTATATAGTTCATGTCCATGACGATACTGGAGTAACGTTTTTCTTTTTTATTTCTTAATTATTTCATTTTACTTTTTTTACCATGGTACATAATTTATTGGTAGGCATATTTGTCTACATTGGAATAAACAAACAAATTCTAATACTTGTTCTTCTCTTTCATCAATTGAATAAATTCTTTATGTATAGTCCAATTATTGTCTCTGTTCTAAATGTAACAATAATTCAACTATAGATAGAAACATCCAACTAATACTGTTATGAGAACTAGTGAAATAAGAATGATTTGAAGGGAAAGTTTTTGCCGAATTTCTAGTACCTTTTGGTGACATGACAGTACATTCGAGTAGTCACCCATCTTTGTATACATCAAACCAATGTTATTGTAAGAAGTAGCCAAGTCATTATGATTTGAAGAAAGAATTTTTTGACAAACTTTCAGTGCTTTTCGATGATATGCAAGCACATTCGAATAGAGAGTGATGTGTGTAGTGTAGGTGTAAATTTACGCGAAATCATCACCTATACCCACATCATTCTTTTATAGACCCGATATTATAAAATCGATGGGATTTTTATGCCCCAACCTGCTCATATATTGCAATTTTTTGCTTTGTTTTTTTATTACATTTTTCAACAAAATAATATCAAATATGTGGTCTCTGTTAAAAGCTGCGTTCGCTGATATATAAATCAAGATATTTCAGTTTGGAAAACCTTTTTGTATTTATTGTTTTGGAATGCTTCCCAGGACTTTTTCCAAAAATTTTTTTGCCGTCAAAAATATACAAATGGCATATCTATAGATTCAGTTTTCGATGAAGATTACGAATCTGTTATTATTTTTTTGTGAAAATATGTACATGAAGAATGAAAACCGTAAAGTATTCTTGCATATTGGCATATAATTCAAGACAGTTCAACAATTTCATAGGCAAGAGTTGTTCTAATTACACTTATAAATGCAGTTGTTGATGAGCATTAATTTGGTATAAAATACTTTGTGATATCATTGATCCTTTAAGTTGTAAAGGGCGGAAGAGGAGCGAGGCGTAATGGTTTTATTAAAGCCTGTATTTTGCAACATAGTTCAAATATGCTTGCTTGCATTCGGCTCAAAAATTCGCGTAAATGCAAAGATCCCTATGGGTCATTTGTACCAACCTGTTTTTCAGAAAGCAGTTGACTGTTCTCGATAAATCACTGTGAGGGATCACTCACGACACACACCAAAGACGTTACTCATTTACTTAAGATTCTTTTAAATGTTATTATAGTTGAAAAAGCAAATACTTAAAGGTTAATGAAATTAATAAATACGATAAAATTCGAGTTTTATTGGAGTTCAGAAAGTATTTGGTATATTTATTGCAGAAATAGCTGAAGTTGCTGCTATAAAACTCTATTCTGATACCGTTATCTTGCAGTAGATGGATCACTGAAAGTCATTCTCTTTTTTAAACCCTTCACCGTTATTGACGAATATATTCGTCAAAGCAACCTTTACGGAAAAAATAACAACTATAATTTCTTAACTCTGTTTTTTTAATATGCTCTGTATCCTTTCTAACATCTTGCATGGACCGGAACCCATTGTACTGGTTCTGATGTTCATATCGGTTATACCCTTTCTGTATCAATTGCATAATTATGCGTATTAATTAACATTATTATTCAATCGACTCTTACTACTTTCTTAAGTGTGCTATTTTGACGTTGATTGTAACAGTCTGTCTAGATAATAGTGATAAGCACAAGCATAATCGTTTACGCATAGAATGTAAGTATTCACTTCGACTACATCAACTCCTACACCCACACTCACACCACGTCCACACCCGCAGCACTTAGTCACAAGGAGAAAATCGTCGAATGAACCTACACTGGCTCAGATAATTTCACAGCACTTTCCATCTTTGATTCCTCCAACTGAAAACAAGCAGCATCCAACAAGATGTTGTTACGTTTGTACTCATACACAAAATGAATCTAATCTCACAAGAAGTGAATCGACATACGAATATACAATTTGCAACGTTGCACTTTGTGTTGATCCATATTTTCATATATATCACACCTTGCTAAATTTTTGAACGAAAATTTGAATTTCGAAAACCGCTTTTGTAGGATTTAGTTTTTTACGCTTTATTATTGAAAAAAAAACTTCTATTTGATATATAAAATAATAAAACATGTTTGCCGCAGAATTCTTATATTGTCCTTAAATGTTTGTGAATATTTGAAAGCTATAGCGCGAAAAGTTCATTGTTTACTTTATAAAATTTAACGTTTAGTTCTAAACAATCTAGATATTCAAAAACAAGTTTCGTCACAAGAAGCGACTTTCCAGATCACCTTTCTAAAGACCCGTTCCTAAAATATTCAAAGCTACTTCAGTCATCCTTGGTCTCTTTTCACTTTAAGAATACTTTCACTATGTTCAAACTAACTACAGTAGTATTTACAGATTGACTTCGTTTTCCAAACATATTAAGTAAAGAATAACAATAGAAGAAACAAACAAATTTTTGATCGAATGTGTAACTATGTGAAGTGGAAGTAACAATGACTTTTTACCTTTTCAGACTGTTTAGTAATGGAATATATTCGACTATTAGATAGTTTACTAAACAACATATGATCAAAATAGGTATTCACGTAAAATCTTTGTTCTATTTCTTATATGATATAATTCAAATTCTCAACCTACTGAGTTTACGAACGTAACTTTTCCATTGCTCTCAATGTCCAAAGTCACTCCATTCGGATTCAATCACATTCCAACAAAGTGTCTCGGAGGAATTTTGTTATAAGAGGATTGACCCATTTTAAATATCGTATTCGGTTCTTGGTATGAACGATAATAACGATGTGTTGCCGAGTTTTGTTTATATGGTGCGCTTGGTGGAGAATATGCAAATGACAAAAATTTTGTAAAAATATTAAATATATTCTATGATAAGACCAAAAAAGAGGAAGAGTATTTCAAGCGTAAAGAACTACCCATGACACAGTCATGACAAGTATTAATGAGAATATACTTTAAGAAGCTAACTTCCTTTCATTCATCCATTGTGATAGAGTATTTGATCCTGTTGAC